CTGCCACGCAGGGACTCCGCAAGCTCAAGAGCTATGCCGAGAGTAATCGCACCCAGTCAAGCACGCAATTGATATGTGATTCTACACAGTCTCGCTTTGCCTTTCTCTCACGGCTTCGCAGGGGCTCTGGGTACAGATGTTGATGGTCAACAGAGTATTGAGAGCGAGAAAGCAAAGAAGCATGGAACATGACAGCAGCAAAGCACGCACATAACTGGGGTCACCAAGCCCCGCCAATAGTCGCCATGTCAAATCGGCGGCAAAACGACTTGTATCCCGGCATTTCCACTTCGAACAGACTGCGAGCCCAAAGGTGGACAGAAGTCGAATAATACTGCTAGTACTAAGGTACGAATTACATCCACACTGCACGCGGTTTTCCGAAATGAAAGTCATGCATGGGCAGTGGATATGCAGCGTCGCATTCCCAGTCTACGGCTGCACTGCAGAGACAGGCTAAAGGCAAATCTGCAGAAGCTATGTAGATTGGAGGGCGAAGGTTACGGACGAGTGCGTAACAAACGGTTAGCATCAAGCGTCTGCGGAGCACTTGGGCTTGCCCCAGCTCCCCCACATGGGACTCTAGGTGTTCTTGTCGGATCTCTTTTGACGGTCTTTTCCATGGTGTTGTTTCCCTTTACTCGCTCTTGTCGTTGAGCTCCGGAGTTGAGTTCCCACCTGCAATACGAACAGGCCCCCTGGTGCTTTTTACTTTTCACGATCCTGGAACTTATGGGCCGGACCAAACGGCATACAGCACGAACCCCGTTCACCAGTCTGTCAAGACTATCTTCAAGGGATACCGGATCGTTTGTTCCTCATATCACAACGTTGCTTCAGCACATAGAGTAGTAGTTCGGAGAAGCGATATCTCGCCGAATATCTCTATTCTGGAGACGATCAATGGAAACAATCCCCATAGGAAATGCCCATAGCCATCTCTCCCCCCGGACAATTGGGATGCGGCGACAGCCGTTGACGGCTTGTTCACGTACCCCGGACAGTGGCTGTTGAGGTAACATCTCCTTTCATGCGACATGGAACGCTACATTCGAGCTGTTGACTGGCGGGGGTGCGACATTGCTTCGTACAGCCAAAAGGATACCTCTTATGGAAGGTATGAAGCCATCCACACGTCAAACGGGCAATACGCTCTGTCCAGATGCTTCTCGAATCAGAGTAGCTGGTGTGCATTCTGCTTGGCCTGCATACGAAGCCTGCAATCAAAGGAATAGGACAGGCAGGGACATGTTCTGCAGCCCTGAAACTGCGAGGCTATTCCCGCCTTTCTGGCTCTCGACCTGTTGTTTACTGTGGTACGGAGCACAGTTGGGCTAGTAGTACCACTGGTCTCTTCGCCTCCGCTCAAATCGGGCCCCTTGCATGAACTCCGAAGACGACAAAAGATGTCTGCGGGTGGGATTTATAGCCGCAGTTCCCGAAGCCCTTTGGAGGGTGGCGGCGAGACGCCGATGCTCCTCCTCCAAGTCCATCCTTTGCATGATCCGGTCGCACTGCACCTACAGTTCGGCACGGCAAGTCTCTCGATCTTGCCACGGGATTGGCCGCCAGCATAGGGTGCTGCTCATCAACTCGGCCGGAAACCCAGCCGGCCGTTCAAACCAATGGCTCGGACTACTCCCGACGTCCATCTGAGCTCCTCAGCCAGAGTCCATTCACGATACGCGCCCAGGTGTCGCACCTGTTGTGGAGACAACCAGTTTGCCTTACCCTGCGATCGCTTCACGGCTTTCATGGCTGATCACCTTTTTCTATCCCCACCTCTAATCGTTTGCCACAAGGCAATGGATGGCCCTTTTCCATAGAATACAACACAGTTGAGGTCAAGAAAGAGTCAAGGCAGATGAAAGAGTGAGGAAACAAGTCGCCAGGTTTGCCCGAAAATCAAGCAGCTTGGCAGCGCACCCTAGGCAGTTGGGCGATGAAACTGTCTCGCCTCGCCTGCTGAGTGCCCTTTTTGGCGCATCCTACCGGTCGGCCCGTCGATTCCTTTGTTGGAGTCGGAGCCCGGAGTTGACCATGCCGCGGTAGATACTATGCTGCTAGGAGGCAGTGATCGTCGATACGCGCCCCCTCTGTCCCCCCCAAACAACGCGATGACAACGGGAGAGCAGGGTCCTGGTCTGTCAGAAAGGGTCCTAGCAATGGGCCTTATCGCAGCTGGACTTACACGCGTTGCCATATATAGCATGGGTGCAGATACCACGTTCAAGTACGAGCGACGTCGAGGGCAGAGAAAAACGAACTTTTGCCTCTGCTCCACCCCTCCCAGAGGCACACACAGAAGGGGAGGAAAGGACTGGAGTGGCATTAAAGACAACATGTACGAGGGCGAATTGGGCAGCGCGGGGTTGCGGTCTGGTCCATGACGAGAACAATGTCCTTTTGCGGCTTTCACCATTCCCTCAGTTTCTTGGCGGTGCTGCTGCCTTTCCAGCTGGTGCCGGCGGCCGCCCGATGACGATGCGCTTGTGTGTCTATTTTGATTTGTGTTCCTTTGCTTTGGCTTTTCTTGTTGTGCGTGTGGGTTGAGAACAATCTGCATCTGCATCTGCATTTGCATGGAGTGGAGTGGGGTTTTCACATGGAAAACAAAGGAACAAGCAAAACAAACAAACAAACATGGAGCGTGGCTGTAAACCACTCGGAAAGCTGCCTGGCCCTTTTGACCTCATGATCTTTATTGAAAGTACCACGGTTGAAAGAGTCATGGGGGATTCTGAGTATACCGGCGACTTACTCAAGGGCGACCTTGACGCTGGTTCTGATCTCCCTTTGTCCGTTTCTTGCTCTCCCCTCGCCCTCTCCTCTCTTCTTCTTCCTCTTCTTCTTCCTCCATGTCTTTCTTTTCAATCTACTCTCTTTTGTCTTGTCTCTTGTCTTTTGTCTATTTCTCTGCGCTGTTTCCTGTGCCGAACATGAGGGTGTAGCCCGCACCCACACCATCATATCTGAAATCCCGCTAGGATCTTGATAAGAGATCGCACTTTTTGACCATCTCAAGATCCTCCCTCCCTCTCATCAGCCCTTTCTCAGTAGGGATGGCGAGTTTTGCCCCTCCTAGCCATCTGCAGCGTCCTTAGAATGGCAGCGTAACTGATGGAAACAAATAGAAAACAAAAAAAGATGAAGAAGGGAAAGGGAGTGAAGTCTCGATTCTCAATCGTCGACCAGATCCGCTTAAGAACAAGAGTAACTGCTCGATACTTTGGGGGGGGGGGGGGGGGGGTGAAGAAGGGAAAGGGAGTGAAGTCTCGATTCTCAATCGTCGACCAGATCCGCTTAAGAACAAGAGTAACTGCTCGATACTTTGGGGGGGGGGGGGGGGGGAGAACGGGGGGGGGGGAAACAGGTTCTGCATAGAGAGCAACGAGTATGAGAAGGGAAAATGTTCTACGGGGGAGACTGCTATATGATGTGGTTTGAAGCATATCCCGAGAGCGGGGGATTCGGTTCGTGTGCTTCTATTCCCCTCTTCTTTTTATTCGTTGCCTTTCATTCTACTCCTTAGAAGGAATAGGTGTCCTCTTTCTGGAGTCCGAAGATGCATTTTCCGCTTTGTGTCCCTGTAAAGATTGAGTATGGTTGCTATAACGAGAGGATTCCGTAAGGAAGAAGAGAGACGCATGAAACATTCCCTCCGTGAGAAAACGCACCGCCATTTTAGCAGCATAAGAGCATTGGTAGATTCAAGCGAATATATACGCATATTGATCGAAAAGTGCTGATCGTGATTGTGAGTAATGTACCAGCCACCAGGCTATGCCATGACCTAGCTGATTATGGTGAGCGGTAGAGGTCGAAAATGTTGATCACAATGTGAGTATGACAGAGCCATCAGGTTATACCACGACCTGGCTGATCATGGTGAACGGCAGAGGCCAAAGGCTTTTGAACATTATGATGTAGTAAGCATAAGGCAAAAGGACATATCGTCACATCGTTTCATAACGTTGCTTCACGAAAGCGCCGTTACCTAGGAAGCCATACCACAACTTGAAGTTACTTTGCAGGATGCATGAGACTCCATTCACGTACATGTCAACGCACAGAGCACCATTCCATTCTGCAAAAAAGATCAACTCCACGGCGATGGGCTTTGGAATTCAAGGCAGCCAGCATGGTAGGAAGACAAGTAATAGATATTAATCGAGATATGGGACATCCATCCCATGAACTTCTACAGAAGCCTCGCAAAGAGAAATAATTATCCACAACTCTGGACTGGGTAAAATGGTATATAGCATCATGGGGCCAAGCGACAGACACCAACGGAACCCTTGATCAGTGATCCGCCTTCCGTACACGCACATTCATACAGACACGCGCCCGTGCACTGGTCGTCTCCTCTGTCTATGGGTGCGTGAGCTTCTCTTCTTCTCCGTCAACATAACCAAAGTGTACAATGCTCATCTCGTATTCACATGAATTTACAACAAAGCAGCAGCCACAGCTCCGGCCAACAGAGCCACGATGGCAGGGGCGCGGGATTCGGCAGCTCCGGCCGGAACAGGAGGCAGGCCGGACTGGGCAGGTTGAGAAGGAACACCGGTGCTGCCAGGGGCGACGACGGTCGTCAATCCACCGGTAGGGAAGGGAACGGGAGCCGGCGTGACGGCAGGAACGCTGGCAGCTGGGGAAGAAACGGCATGCTGAGGCGGAGGAGGAGGAGGAGGCGGGTAGTAGGCGGACTGGGCCGGGCTGGTGGCGACAGGGGCTGTGGGCGATGGCACCACGCTGGTCGAGACGGGAGCCGAAGCAACGACAGAGGGGGTGGGAACCGCAGCGCCAGGGATCTGGACGGGGGCCGTCTGGGTGACAATGGGAGTGACAACAATGACGTGAGGCGCCGTCTGGGGGTTGCTGCAGGTGTCCTTGCCTTGGCTGCAGGTGTAGGTGTTGGGCAGCGTAAAGGTCGCAGTGATCTCGGGAGCGGCGGGCCTGGGAGGAGCCGTGGTGGGATGCGGGCCGTCCTCAACGGGGCACCAGGTCGTGTACGCCATGACAACCTCAGTCGTGACGTGGCCAACGGGGCAGTTGGTGACCGAGGGCGGGCACGAGGTAACGGTGTACACGTTGGTGGTGGTGAAGGTCGACGTGTAGGTCGGGGCGGGCGTGGTGGCGGAGCCAGAGCCAGAGCCAGTGACAGTGCCAGAGGCAGCGGCCGCGGAGGTGGTGCCGGCAGCGGCAGCGCCGGTGCTGGACTCGGAGAGGACGGAGCTAGAGCCGGCGGCGGCAACGGAGCTGAGGCTCGGGATGGGGTAGGGGGCAGTGCCGTTGCTGAATCGGTGAGAGGTCGTGGGCAGAGCTCCGGTGGTGGCGGGCGCAGTGGTCAACGGCACGCTGGTGGTCTCGGCGGCAGAAGTCGAGGCAGCCTCGGAGGTGGTGGTGGCCAGCTCAGACGTCTCGGCGGCGGCAGAGGTAGCCGTGGTCGCCTCGGCAGAGGTGGTCGCGTTGGGGTCGGTGGAGGAAGCGCACTTGCCAATGGCAGAAGCCGGGACGGCGTCGGCGCCGGAGCCGATGGGGATCAGCTCGGTACCACAGTCCTCGTTGGCAGCAATGTGGATCTCCTGGTTGTCCCAGTCAAAGACGACGTAGGCAGCGCGCAGGAAGGTGTCGCCCAGAACAGGGAAGTTGTCGTCCTGGGAGACACCGAGCTTGCAGATGCCCAGGTCGGGCTGCTGCCAGATGAAGTCCTTGTACTCAACGTCGACCACAACGTTGCCAAACTTGAAGTTGACACGGCCGGGGGTGTCGATGATGTCGCAGTCCACGATGTAGTCGCCGGAGGTGGACTCCAGACGGGCCGAGGGGAAGGCCTCGAGGATCTTGTCCATCAAGGGACCGGGGAGCGTGCTGACGGTGTAGCCGCTGTCGAGGAGAACCGGCTGGCCGTTGGGCTTGTCGAAGATCTCAACCTTGGATCCATCCTCCTTGGTGATGGTCATGCCGTCCATGTTGACCCAGTAGCGGGTGTAGCCATCGGGAGACTGGGCGGCGGGGATGATGGGCTTCTTGGCAAGGGGGCCAGAGAACTTCTTGATGTCGATTCCACCATAGGTGACGGAGCCTCGGTCGCTGTCGAGGCCACGGATGTCGAGACTGAAAGCCCTGCTCTTGATGAAGCCTTGCTTGACCAGGTTGTCAATGACAAAGGGGTAGGGGCTTGTCCAGCCGCTCAGGTCGGGGCCGGCACCGAGGATACCAACGGAAGCAAACTCGCTGTCAGTGGCAACACCGAAGACCTGCTGGTTGATTCGCAGAGCTGCATTGCTGGTCAGCGAGCCTCCTTTTCCAATCTCCCCTTTCATCTCCTAGCTATCGAGGTGTTTCTCAAAAGACATTGAAACAAACTTGAGCCGACTTCACCGGCTACCTTGTTCACTTAAATTCCCCCACTGTGACAGCTCCGGGTAGAGAAGGGCATTACTTACAGCCGAGCTGGACATAGTCGTAGCCGTAGTTGAAATCAACGAAGCCGGTACCATATTTGATACCTCCGGGAGCCTTGGCGTCGACATAGGTCGTGGAAAGGTTGTATTGGCCAAATGTCTTGCAAAAGGCAGGGTCCGTTGCCTTGCTGCACACGGGGTTGACCCAGAGCTCGGAGGAGCCAGTATCGAAATTGACGCTCACTGCCTGCGGTGGTGTGCCAATCTCGAGTTGGATGCTGTAGAAGTAACCAGTCTGCTGGGACTGCAGATCGGCGCTATCCTGGCGCCTGTGAAGGTGCTTCGAGGTGGCACCCTTGGTGGTGGTAAGAGCATATCGCATAATTCCATTCTGCTGGGCGATTGTGTCGTCGATGAATTCGAGGGCGTGAGCCGCAAGCGGCAGGGCCGCGAGGCCGTAAAGAGTGGAACGCATACTTGTAGCGAACGTATGCAATTGCCGGCGTAAGGAATGACCGGCAAAGAAGCTGTAATAAAATAGAAGCACGAAGAAGAAGGAAAGACTGAAAAGCAGTTGGACCAAAAAAAGGGAGCGACGTAGGCGAGAAGGAGGGAGACCTCTGAGGTCGAGATGGAGAGCGAGGGAGCTGGTCCAGGGAGCATTATGTATAATCAATTCGCCGTCCCGTACCCTGCTTGCTCGTGTGGATAATTACTCGTAGTCGACGAGCGAACAGAGACGACTCGACCAACCCAGGCGATCCATGGCCCTGGCGTGGGTCCCAGCATCCTTGTCCGTACATGTATGGCGTCGCTTGGGAGCAGTCAAACGGCCACAGGGTTGCGCCAGTCAAGGTACGGGCAGGACGGCTCTGCCAGCGTTTGTTTGGGCCAAGCCGCGGCAGTGGGTAATCGTGGGCGCACAGAGGAAATGAGCAATTGAAGACGAGCAAGGGGTCTAGAGCTCTCCCGGCTTCACCTCCTCCTTGTGGCGAATCAACAGTTGCACACGAGCGAGCCAACACCTGAAGAGGCCTCAAGCTTCAAGCTTCTGCAGCTCAGCGGGCGAGTTCCTGCAGCGGGATACGGACGGAGCGCTCGGTGGCACCAGATAAGCTTCAATCGAAGCTAAGGTGCTATGAAGATAGAGTCGTGAGCGTGAAGCCGGTCTGCTTCGATCACCTGTGCGTGCCTCCCGTGCCTCCCGTAGCTGCATGCCGTATCCATTGCTTTGCAAAGCTCGGACGGGCGCCTAGACGGACGCATCTATCCGGACTCCTTTCTTTCCCTTCCTTTTTCTTGCCCGCCATCTCATGTATGAACGCGTTGGCTCTGTCATATTCTAGTGAACAAACATTCAGCTGCTCTGCTCTCCCAGCCAGACTACCGAGAGAGGAGGGGAGAGGACCTGCTTCTTAGGGCCTTGGCGACGATCCTGAAATCAGGCAATTATCGAAAGTCGCTCCTCTGCAGGAATAGGGATCCCACCGAATGCCATTTGCGCCAATCGCATCTCACATCGCTCGATTGCACTTGTAGATCCTGCTCGTCCGTGAGGCTGCGCAGGCAAGCATTAGAGGGTCCTTCCAGGGCACCGTCACCTGTGCGGAGAGTGACAGAGGATTACTGTAGCAGCGGTAACCAAACGAAAAGTTTCAGAAGCATGAAGTGGGAGAAATAGGGCCCAGCCTAAACAACGGGGCGGGCAGGCAGGGATCGAGTCGTAAAGGGGCCCCCAGCTGAACTGGAAGAGACATTAATGACGAAGGGGCCGCTGAGCGGAGAAGACGAAACATGACGGATGGCTCGCCAAGCCAGACACGGGAGGCGACAGCACAGCAGCGCGGCGCTTCGGGCACTGGGAGCTGTGCTTTGCCTGCTGACGTGTCCGGCCGATCAACAGAGGCTGTGGTAAAGGGGAGCGACTGGTGTGATTCGTGGTCATGGACCGTGTCCGTCGTCGTTCTTTTTTTCTTCTTCTCCTTTGCCGTGGTGATGCTTGGATGCTGGGAGGGAAAGTCTGGGATGACAAGCGGCCTGGATGGGAAGGACGCACTGCAGTGGTCGCCACCACGTTTCGGTTCCTGCATTAGGCCAGCACGCTTCCCGCCTAGGCTGCCCCTATCGGGCGCTAGCACGGCAGCGCTCTGCAGGGGCCGCCCATCCAATCCCTCCAACTTACCAGCCAGCCTTCACCAGTCGCTGTGAGCCGTCGCAACGGGGGCCTGTGATCGCCGCAAGGCACTGCGATTGCGCTGAGCGATAACGCGCTGATAGCGCACTTTGACTTTTTGTCTTGTCCATCCATCTTTGGCGCTCAGCCACCGTGGCATCTCATCTTGCGTCCCCAGGTGATGGTTGGCAAACAGGCTGATGCCGGTTCACGGTGGCTTCCCTGTATGTAGCTTCTTACGGAGTACATACTAGTTGTACACGTAGGAGTAGCAGCTCCGTTTCCCCAGAGCAACTGCTGCTGAGGACGCTGGTTCTCGAAAACTAGCCTGGATCGGAATCCCTTTGGCGGAGATTGACCGTGCCAAGCGTTCCGTCAAATTGGATGCAAGATGAGAGGATTAAGTGTGTACGGGGTACGGATACTTCAATGCTAAATCAAGACGATCTTCCAGCAGCTGAGATGGAGTCGTTGGTTGATGCATGGCTTCAATCTTAGCCTTGCCTCAACTTGTAGAGACGAGATACGAAGGTAGGGGATGAAGCTTGGCACCTTTACCTGAACTCCTTTAGACGAATGACCTTGTTCAGCTGCGAGGTGGTACCTGTACGTAGCAACCGTGATTCGGGCGATGTTAATATCTTCAGGTAACAGAACAGACACAGATGCTCCAGCACTTCGCTTACACGCAACCCAAGCCACCGTCTGCTCGAGCAAGACAGCTGGATGGTTTACACGAGCGAAGTCAAAGTCCGATCCGTGCAACGGTACAGCCGCAAAACCCCGTTGCCGGTGCATGTCTTACCTAATAGGCAATTGTTAATCCAGACGTCACCCGTTGTCTCTCTTCCCATGGCCAAGAGAGTAAAGCATCCAAACAAATGAGCTTAATGTGTTGCCGAGCATCTCATATAGAGCTTCGGCTGGTAAGCGAGTAATGATTGTTTGCTTACAAGCCGCCTAAGAGGTATCAACACATACCCATATGTGTGGGATGTGTATGGCACTACTACTGTAAGACGGTTTATAAGCTGGAGCTTGGTGCATATTGAATTCAGGATTGACATATAGCATACACATGAACAAAAGTTCATCTGCGCGACTCGAAAAGGCATAAAAACCTCCAGGGTAGGTTCAAGATGCGCTTTTGAGCGAAGGGATATTCCACGCACAGGCCGGCTGGCAACTCGACTTTTCTGCCATCATGGCTGCTCCAGGGAGACAGAAGAAAAGAACAAAAAAGAGAAAAAGAAGAAAAGATCAGACCCAGATTTCGGGGAAAGATCATGATCGGGCATCTGTGATCAGTGCCAGAAAAGTGTTGGCAGGGGGGGTATATTTCGTCAATGGCATGATTATTATTTACAATCTATTCTACCCCTCACATCTCCAACCCCATCGCAAACCGCCACCCAGCAGCATCTAGGGCGCGGGCTGCTTGATGGCCTCAATAATCTTATCCTGAATCTTCTCCGGCTCCGTCGTGCTGGCCCAGCGCCCAATCACCTTTCCATCACGGCCGATTAAGAACTTCTCAAAGTTCCACTTCACCCTCTCCAGGCCGAGCAGGCCGGGCTTCTCATGCTTGAGCCACTTGTACAGCGGGTGGGCGTCGTCGCCGTTGACGTTGACCTTGCCCATGACGGGGAACGTGACCTTTTGGTCGAGCGAGCAGAAGTTCTGAATCTCCTCGTTGCTGCCGGGCTCCTGGCCGCCGAACTGGTTGCAGGGGAAGCCGAGGACGACAAAGTCATCGGGGTACTCCTTCTTGATGGCCTGGTAGACGGACTCGAGGTTCTTGTACTGGTAGGTGAAGCCGCACTTGGACGCGGTGTTGACGACGAGGACGACCTTGCCCTTGAACTTGTCCAGCGGGACTTCGTTGTCGGTGGCTACAAGACGATGCGCTCGTTAGTACAAGATGACGATGACTCAATGGGTTATGGCGGTTGTGGTACGATGTCTGGCGCAGACTGCGGGGTGTTGTGTCGCAATTCTGTCGCAAGATTCGGCGGCGAAGAATCAGAGAAGGAGGGGCTTACCGTCGGGCACCTTGAAGTCGAAGAAGTTGGTGGCGGAAGACATTGTAGAGAAGAGTCTGTTTGGAGTCGGGGGAGTGGCTGCGTGCTGGTGATGCGAGCTGATGGTGCGATGGTGGTGATGCAGAGTCGGAAAGGCTGAGACGGAGGCCGAGGCAGACGATATAAATGCAACTCTCGAGTCAGTCCACTGATGACGTTTTGCTCCTAGTGGCGCACGGCACGGTGCTCCCAGTCGGGGCTGCGCCGTTGGCAGAGCCCGGGCGAGGGATTTGGAATTTGGGCAACGGGCCATTTTGCAGTTTTCGAGCTGGTCCGATGACAAAGCCGGCGGTGCAATTATAACAAGCAAGCAAGCAAGCGGCCTTGTTCACGATATGAGCTTAGTTCTCGCGCCTGTTGATAGCCTTTTCAACTTCAGCCTTCCGGGACCCATCGGCTCAACGATCTGTTCGGCCTCGGCAGCCCCACGGGTGGCGACGGGCCTGGCGTCTTTCAGCGCACAATCTCAAAGCTGTACTACTGTGACCCTTCGTAATGGATTAGTATTATTGCTCGCATCCACTGCCCTGAGGTATTCCGTTATACCGGGTTTGCGGGTGAAGTACTCGAAAGCTCTCCATGGGTCTTGGTAGCACCTGAGCTTCCGAACGGGCCGGAACGGAGCACTGAATCTGTCCGCATCGCTAGAGAGGTAAACTTGCTGGATCCCGCACCTAATAATACACGCAGTTCCTACTGAGGGTGAAAAGCCGTCGATAAAGTTGCGTCTTAACTTGCCCTCCTCGTCCATGTGTCTTGCTTCGCGGCTTTCAGTCAACCTTGACGAATGCGAATGCGAACGACAGCTGGATGCGTGATGTCATGCGTCAGCCAGCAGAGGCGGGTTCTTTGTTCTCTGGATTACCAGGGACCAAGCTAAAAACAGCCTCGGAGGCGGGTTCTTGTTCGCGGCCCAGCGATTGAGTGCTTACATGAGGGTCGATCAACCAACAAGTATCGAGCGTATTCCTTTGCCGTATTGCATTTCTGTCCTGTCAAGAGTTTTCGCCGTGTTGCAAGTCGTCTGAGGCGTTTCTAAAATTTGGCGACTTTGAGTAGCTAGACTTTGTCTTTGTATGCATTGCGTTCCGCCTGACAAGGCCCCAACCTCTTTACGACAGCGATCGAGGCATACAATTCTTGTTGCAATGAACCAATCAGCGCCCACAATAACGCTGATATGTGGGCTTGAGTGTCATTGTTATCGAGGAACCAGGCTGTCGTCGTTGTCAGATCCTTACAACTCACACTTTCGGCCCGTCCAAGCTAGAGTTTGGGTTTCGCATCACTTAGAACAGACGGCGTGTAGTGGGAGTCGAGCCTCGACATGACATGACGTTGGTAACCGTTCAGTCACATGTCAAGAGCTGACGACGGAGACTTGGGAGTGAATCAACGTGATTATGCAAACCTGCAACCACTGCAATCATGTGGTATTATGAAATCCGGGCGTCAAATTCGGCTTTGTTTGATCCCGGAATGCCGCATGATCGCATCTTATGGTGGCTTAGAGAACCCTTGTTGCTCGAAGCAGTCTCTCAGTCTGAGTTCAGTGGCATGATTTCCCGATCCTCAAAACAAATGATATAGTTCCGACGCCTCATTGGTCCAGAACCCATTTTGTCAAGCTGTCGGAAAGTGCATATTGTTCGTCGGATTTGGTGCAACTTGCGCTGCTGGTTTTTGAAACGGAGAACGAAGCGTATGTCCGGCTTGATTGGCGGATGAGAGTCTTCCGATGGCTTTGAATCAACAAGGACGCAACAAACTAACGATTATGAATCTCCGCATATAGTTTCAATTCTTATCGAGGGAACCAATACTTGTACGCGATGATTGTGATGCCTGTCCACCTTGCGTTGCAGTGTAAACGGACTAGGAGGTGGGTCGTCGCCATGGGCGGAGTGGAGTGACGTTGACATTTATCGTCAGGCTCTCGGTCTTCCTGAATACGAGAGAGGTTTACTCAGACATGCTGTGCTTCAAGTCGACAACAGCTAGAGTATACAGTTACAGCCTCAGAGAATTTCCATCAGACCCTCACCAAGACGAGTGAAAATGTTTTTCGGTGGGAGTCAATTCTCTCCCGAGAGGGACATTCCTTCTCAAGAAGGCAAAGTAATCGTGGTCACCGGAGGGCAAGTCGTCGACCTTTGAAAATGCCCTGAAAGAAGCTCAGCCCGGCTCATACAAACCCATCCAATACAGGAACACAGGCATCGGCAAAGAGACCATCCTCCAGCTCTGCAAGCACTCGCCGAAAAAGGTCTTCCTCGCCACCAGGAACGAGGCCAAAGCCAAAGACGCCATCACCTCCATCAACTCCCAGCTGCCCGAGCCCGCCGACGTCGAGTTCGTGTCGCTCAACCTCAGCAACCTGGCCTCTGTGGCTTCCGCCGCCGAGACGATTGCCCAAAGCACGGACCGGATTGACCTGCTCTTTCTCAATGCAGGCATCATGAACATGCCGCCGGGCAACAAGACGGACGACGGCTTCGACCTTCAGCTGGGCACCAACCACGTCGGCCACTTTCTCTTCACCAAAAAGCTGCTTCCCGTATTGAAAGAGACCGTCACCAAGTACAATCCCGACGTCCGCGTCATTTCCACATCGTCCATCGGATACAGATTCGCGCCGTCCTTTGAGACCATCATCTCCACCGAGAAGCTCTCGTCACAAGGCCAATGGACGTCCTACGGCGCTTCCAAAGCAGCCAACATCCTCTTTGCCGCCGAGCTGGCCAAGCGGCACCCGGAACTCACCTCGGTGTCTGTCCACCCCGGCATGATCCAGACGGATCTGTATGCGACGACCGCGTCCAACAGCTTCCTCCTGCGAAACCTGATGCGCTTCTTCGGCCCTCTTGTGTACCACGACGTGGCGTACGGCGCCTTGACGCAGCTGTGGGCCGCTACCGTGGGCAAGGATAAGCTTCAGCAGGGCGGGTTTTATGTGCCGATTGCGCAGCTGGAGAGTAAAAACAAGTACGTCGCTGACGCTGATATGCAGAGGAGGCTGTGGGAATGGACGGAGGGGGAGCTGAAGCAGAGGGGCTACTGAGTAGAACTGGGTGCTCATTGTTCATCTGCATGATGGCACTTATAGCGGATATGAAGTCTTATTGTGGTGAATTAGTGTCCTAAGTTTCTCTTGCATGCATCTGACATAGGATAGAGTAGCATAAGCATACAGTACCAGGTATATAATGGTGAGCTCTTGACTTGAAACGGGTATTCGTTACTTTCTTTCTCCGCCTGCTCAGCTCCGTATAATATTACCAGATATGCAGTGAGGGTTTCAACCCGGGCAAGCCAAGGTTCTTCGACAGATCCGTCTGGGACTTGGCCCGGAAGTTGGCCCGTTCGAAGCGGGATCCCCATCTGGTCCGGCCTTGTCCGATCGCGCCGAAAATTGGGACCTCGGAATGATTACCAGATCCAGCTCCGCATTACGCCGGGGGCCCAGCCGGGAGAAGACTTGAAATGCAAGCTCTTCAATGAAGATGTCCCTTTAAGAACTACTTTGACTACCCCCTTGAGTGTTTATGTAGAGTTGAGAGCTTGACAGAATGGCGTTTCCCGAAGCCATCACGGGAGGATGCCTCTGCGGCTCGATTCGCTACTCGATATCTGCGTCTACCGAAACACCATGGCCGCCTCAGGTATGTATGCTCCTACACATCGCTTTTTTGCACACGAAATCACAATGACTTACCCTTTGTGATCTTAGTCATCAACTTGCCAGTGTAAGTGTGGCATACTCCAGACAGTTTTTCGTCGTCGCTAAGCCCTCACCCTGAGAACGCTCACTTGCTAACAGATGAATCTTCACAGGCACCATGTGTCGCAAGTGGACATCATCCCTCATAGCCCAATTCATCATCGTGCTCCCCTCCCAGATCGAGCCGGCGTTCGGCAGCCATGAAACCTTTGCGGAGTACGAATCGTCGCCAGGCCGCTACAGAGGATTCTGCAAGCGGTGCGGGACGTCGCTGGTTTGGCGGTCGACAGACGACGGCAGCACAGTCGACGTCTTCTTGGGGACGGTGGACGAGAAGTGGCTCGTCCATGAGGATGGCGGCAAGGTCGGACAAGCGTTGGCGAGGCCGAATGGGACGCAGTTTTGGATGGAAAATGCTGTTCCGGGCGTGACTGATTTGGTCAAGGGGGGCAAGGAGTTTCCAAGGGAAGGGGAGGATGGATGGGAGAGGAAGAAGGAATAGAGTGTCTATGGCAGATGGATTGGGGCAATGCTTGGAAGTCGAGGCCAGTCTGCGTCGTGTTGTTGCTATTGAGACTTTCACGTGAGCAACCCCCCTTGGCGCTGAGCTGAGGGAAGATGAAGAAGAAGAAGAAGAAGAAGGAGAAGAAGAAGAAGAAGAAGAAGGGAGAAGAGCCTCAGAGAACGTGTGATGAAACACGTTGCTGTGGTAGGAGACTGGGAGAGGCTTGATGGTGCTGCTAGTGGGTAGAGCTAGACTCCACGCCCACTTATTGTCCTTGGAATCTGGGGCCAAATCACACGGACCGAGGCTAGCATCGTCATCATCCTGTCTGATCGCCTGGCTTCCTTTGCGCTTATAGACTCGAACAAGTGGGAAAGACACGGATGCCAGACGAATCGAACGACAAGACACGCCTACATAGTTTCTGTTCCCATCTCGTACCCCGCGTTCTCGTGAGCCCGGCTAGAGTATAGTCCAAGCCCCTGACCTGGAGAATCTGGGGAACCCGCCGGACCGCTGTGGTGCCCGCCTGTGGATGCCAGACGTGGAGACTCCGGACCGAAGCCCGGTGTTGTTTTGAGTCCGGGAGGAAAAGATGAGCTGAGAAGAACCCGGCATCGGTCACCGCTCACGACGAAAAGCGGTGGATTGAGATATATGTATATCCCACCCCCCTTAAGCCCCAGCAGCTGGGAAAAGACCTCGGCTCTAAACGATTCTTAAACCGAGAAGACGGCAAAAGCTCGAAGTATTCAAGGTCTGGAGCGGCAATTGCAGTAACTAGTTGACAGCAGCAGCCCTACCGATGGATCCCCTGGAGCGGCTCAGCACCGACGGCAGCTCTCTCAGTCCAGAGCCGCATTCGTCGAAGCAGCCAGTCCGCAGAGCTAGCAAGGCTTGTCTGGCATGCAGGGCGAGGAAGGTCAGATGCGATGTCACGATACGGTCGCCTTGCGGGAATTGCCAGTGGAACGGGCAGCAGTGTGTGACACATGCTCGACGAGCTAGAAGGTGTGTGTGTGTCGGAGACAGCGAAGCGAGAAGAGGAAGAAGAAGAACCCCTCTGCTAATGAGCACATATACCTTAGACGGAGAAGAAGGCCAGTTACAACGGCAACCCCTTGCGAGCCGGGTGTTACAGAAGAGGCTGCCACGAATGGTGGACCTTGCAACCTGCTCGAGGAGTTTGCCATCGAGTCTCACTCCCTGGACGCGCCCATGTCGATGGACGACCTGGAGCTTCTACGAGCGGACATTGAAGCCGACAAGTCTCCCCAAGAGTCACCGTCAGACATCGTCGACGCCTTTGACCTACCAAGATATGTCCGACCCCTGACGAGCCTCCCTCCAGACGACATGGAGTTTCTGCATGCCGAGGGCGCCCTGAGCCTGCCCGACAGTGCCCTCCAGAATGCGCTCCTCCGGGCCTTTTTCGAATACGTGCATCCGTATGTGCCGACTCTGGATCTCGATGCCTTCTTGCACTCTATAGAGACACCCGATGGGTCCGCGGGACAGGTGAGCTTGTTGCTGCTGCAGGCTGTCCTCGCCGCTGGGACGGCACACGTAGAGCTGCAGCACCTCCGGAATGGCGGATATCAGACCCGGAAGCAAGCCCGCACGGCGTTTCTAAAGCGAGTTCGAGTGAGTTCCATTAACCCCCCCAAAAACCATGACCATGACCATCTACCATGCAGTGAGGGCAGAAGTTTGCTAACTGCTTCGTGACGGGCAGCTCTTGTACAAGTACAACTGCGAGCTCGACCAGATGGTCCTCACCCAATCGCTCCTCCTCATCACCTCCTGGCAAGACGCCTCCGACGAGCACGGCAAGACGTGGTTCTGGATCGACGCCGCCGTCTCCCACGCCTTCGCCGCCGGCCTGCACCTCGAGCCGTCCGCCCACAAGCCCAACCTGTCGAAGCGCAAGCAGCGGCTGCGGCGCCGCGTCTGGTGGTGCTGCTTCATCCGCGACCGCCTGCTGTCCCTGGGCATGAGGCGGCCGCCGCGGATCAAGGACGGCGACTTCCAGGTGGCGATGCTGGAGGAGGCGGACTTCCAGCCGGAGCAGATCCGCAGCGACGATCCGGACCACGGGCGGTTCGAGGCCGTGTGCGTCTATGTCAAGAGCCGCAAGAAGCGCGCCGAGCTGGCGAGGATGTGCGTCGCGCAGGCGACGCTCTGCCGGTCCATGAGCTTCCTGTCGAGCAGCATGTACGTGGCGCCCCAACACGACGGCCTGTTGTCGTCCGAAAAGGAGGCGGCGGCGGCGGCGACTGCAGCCGGCAGCGGCAGCGGCAGTGAGCAAAAGATGTTCACGACGTACATCCGCGACCTGCTGGAGTGGCGCGACGGGCTGCCGGAGGGCGTCTCGTACCGGCCCATCTCGCGCAGCGACATCAGCAGGGACGGCAGCGCGAGCATCTCGCTGGACCGGGCGGTGCTGCACATGATGTACTACGCGGCGGTGCTGTGCCTGTACCGCTCGCGCTTCGTGGCGCTGCTGCGCGAGGCGGAGGAGGCGTCGGCCATGGAGAAGGAGATGTGCAAGATCTACATGCAGCACTCGGCGAAGCGCATCGGCGACATCTCGCGCAACATCTACGACCACGGGCTCGACCGGCTGCTGCCCAGCATGGCGGCCAACATCGCCGTGTCCGCCGCGAGCGTGCACCTGCTGGAGCTCAGGGGCCAGCTGCAGGGCTGCGCGACGGAGCCGAGCTATCGGCAGAGCAGGCGGCTGATGCAGTCCATGCACGACATTTACGCGGGTGCTGATTTGTCAAGGGAGTCGCCCAACTGGCATGAGGAGGAGGAGGAAGAGAAACGGGAGGAGGAGGAGGAGACTAGAAGCAGGCCCGGCGGAGTGGTAGCAACTGAGACGGGGGAGGAGGAGGAGGAGGAGGACTATCTCGTGGCTGACGGGGACTGGCTCAAGGACCTGGAGGCGGCGACGTGCTGGTATGTGGCGGAGCCGTACCGGGCGGACAGCTTTTTGCAGTATCCGGGGGAGGGACTGGATGTGGTGAATGAGTTTTTTGCTTGCTAGGAAGGAAGAACTATCACGGAGTTTATCACGGGGATTCACAAGTGTTCAATGACGGGTATGGGTATATACATGCAGACGGCACAAGGCAAATAAGAGGCAGCTCTGTTACTATCATGGCAGCTGATCTTTCCAGACTCTCTTCAACCATGTATTCTTTTGTTTCCATGCCATGTGAAAAACAGTGCTCTGCCGTCTTCTGTTCCCACTGGCACGTCCCTCAACCCCCCCCTCGATAGACTAAAGACTGCGATATCGGGTCTTCTATCTGATGGCCACAAACTTCCCTCCATATCCAAATACTTTCAAGGTTCCAGTCCAAGTTCATCGTCTGCCCCATTTCTCAAAGCAATCCATCCTCCGCAAAGTCTACATGCAACCGCGCTCCACGTATCAATTCTCAAAGAATTGCCTATTCCGGCATGTGGCGATGCCAGCTCCCCCAGCTTTGCTCTCCTATACACACATCGAGGCAAGCCCCGGATCCATCCCACAGCCTTAATTTTTAGCTCCCGCTGCCACTACTACTACTAACATCAAACCTGTTGGGTCTTCCGTAAAATGGGAAACGATTCCATCCCACTGATTCGCTCCTTTTTACCCCCACAGAGATCACACAGGTCCGATTTGGCGACCCGGATGCTGGGACTCGGCCTCCATTGGCTCTAAGAGCAGCATCTCGGTCCGGCCATTCGTCCATCCTCCTGGGTGGCAGCGGTCCGGTTGAAGCTTGCGCTTGGAATATGGGCGGAGAACGGGGAAATTGGACTTTCGAATCCGGGGTAAACGAAGCGAGGCTTGACCACACGAGGCGAGTTCTCTCTTTCGGTTGTGGGCTGCTTCTTCGTACATTGCATTCAGCTGTACTGGGGTACCTAGTCCAATATTGGCCGTTTCTGCATGTACTTGATATTCACTCATTAGTATACCGGTAATCTGATAATGGCAATAGTAGTAGTTGTGCATGTACTCTCCTAATAGAACGTCCTCTTCTTGCCCAAACGAGGACAAGAGAGAGGAGAAGATCCAGTGCTAGAACGCCTCATGTGATGGTTCAGATAACGAGCCGCCGTTCCAAGGACCAGTGGCTTGCATTTGTTTCGTGCTACGGACCGCATATAGGCTTTTTGATTTGCTGCAGGGAGGGGGAGGGCGCCTTTTGTCGGAGCTGAACTTCTGTTTCTGTGACACGATGTACGAAAGACGTGATATGTAAGGGGGGAGAAAGAGGGCCAAGCTGAGTTTGCATAAAATGGGGTCTTTGATGATGCCTTTGGGTAGAAAAGAAGAGATACACTCCCAACTAGATGAACATTCCCGTTCCAAGCTTCTCCTCTTTCAACTTTTATTGACCATACAACTATCTGTCTTCAAATAATTCAACCAGCAAGCGTCCAACGAGCAACATCTTCACAACCACGCTCTTCACAATGGCCCCCTCCGCAACCTCCCCTCCCCCAACCACCACCGGTCAACCCATCGACCTGCAGAGCAACTACGTCCAGATCATCAACGGCAAAAGCGCTCCAACCGAACACACCCGCCACGGCATCAACCCAGCGTCCCTCGAGCCCAAGCCCGCCGTGCCCGTGGCCACGCAGGCGGACCTCGACCGCGCCGTCGACGCCGCCAGGGCCGCCTTCAAGAAGTGGTCCCGCGTCCCCTACGAGGAGCGCCGGGCCGCGGTGCTGGCCTTTGCGGATGCCATTGACAGGCAGCGCGTCGAGTTTCGGGACCTGTTGATTTCGGAGCAGGGGAAGCCTGTGAGTCAAGAATCTCTCTCTTTATACGATAATATCTCCATTGTGAGAAAACCTGACCCGATGGTTATATACAGATCCCCCAAGCAGATGGCGAGACGGACGCCGCCATCGAGTGGATCAGGGGCATGTCCAACATCAAGCTCCCCGAGGAAGTCGTCGAGGACAACGACAGGCACACCGTCATCACGCGGTACACGCCCCTGGGCGTCGTCGCCGCCATCGTCCCCTGGAATTTTCCCCTGCTGCTCGCCACGGGCAAGATTGCGCCGGCCTTGCTCACGGGGAACGTCATCATTGTCAAGCCTTCGTGAGTCCCCTTCAAACAAGTTTTCGGGGAAGAATCCAGGAAAGAAGCTATAAGTTGCTGGATCAGCTGACAACTTTGAAAAACACTCGTGTAGCCCGTTTACCCCCTACTGCGGCCTCAAGGTCGTCGAGCTGGCGCAGCAATTCTTCCCTCCAGGCGTCGTCCAGTCTCTCAGCGGTAACGACAACCTGGGGCCGTGGCTCACGAGCCATCCCGGCATCGACAAGATCAGCTTTACCGGCTCGACGGCGACGGGAAAGCTGGTCATGCAGAGCGCTTCCAAGACCCTAAAGAGAGTCACTCTTGAGCTGTACGTACGAACCCCTTCCGTTTCCCCAGCATTCAGACAACAACAACCCCCATGAAGAAGACCTTTTCATCTGACAACTGTGCATGTATGACCACCCACCAAAACAGCGGCGGCAACGACCCAGCCATCATCTTCCCAGACGTCGACGTCGACAAGGTCGCCGAAAAGGTCGCCCTCTACGCCTTCCTAAACTCGGGCCAGGTCTGCCTCAACCTCAAGCGCATCTACGCCCACGAGGACATCTACGACCAGTTCCGCGACGCAATGGTCAAGCACGTCCGGGCCTACGCCCTCGGCGACGGCGCCCAGCCGGGCGTCACCCACGGCCCGCTGCAGAACGCCATGCAGTACGACCGCGTCAAGACCTTCTTCGACGACATCGAGAGGCAGGGGTGGAAGGTCGCCGTCGGGGGCAAGATCGAGGCCCCGGAGAAGGGGTACTATGTTGCCCCGACGGTGATTGATCGGCCGCCGGAGGACTCGAGGATTGTCGTCGAGGAGCCTTTTGGTAAGATGAAGCCACAACTCACAATCACCACTACCATCATCACCACCATCATCATCAATCACCGTGAGACGTATAGCATACTGATTTTTGTTTCTGTCAGGCCCCATTGTTCCTCTCCTCTCGTGGTCCTCCGAAGAAGACGTCATCGCCCGCGCAAACAACACCTCCATGGGCCTCGGCGCCTCCATCTGGTCCAACGACATCGACAAGGCTGCCCGCATCGGCCGCGAGATCGAGGCCGGCACCGTCTGGATCAACACCCACTTCGAGATATCACCCATCGTGCCCTTCGGAGGGCATAAGGAGAGCGGCATCGGCGCCGAGTGGGGGACCAACGGCCTCAAGAGCTTCTGTAACGTCCAGTCCATGTTTGTCAACAAGCATGTCGTCAGCTAGACAAGACAGGTCTGTCTGTCTTGGTCGGTATATGCGCTCATAAATTAAACTTTACATAGATGTAATGACAGATCTCAATCGCCTCAACCACCCAACTGCCGTTTTGACCGATATACAACGTGTACATAACTCATCATTGCCGAACTCCTGAGAGGGAAGATATACATCATTCCACCATTTATCATGTAACAGGCACGAAAGACAAAAAGGCCAACATCATAGACCTCACAGAGGTACTCCATTTCCAAGAAAGCCAACGTTCGGGTCGGGATTCGCATTGGGCGCCATGCCCCCGAAGGCATCGTTGTTCTCCAGTCCCATCGGAGTATCGAGCGGACCCAGGAACGTATCTGTCGAAAGTGCCGGCGGCGTTAGTGCTGAGTCGTTATGCGCAGACATGGCCACGTAGTCAACCATCAGCCACAAGGCAGACTCCAGTTTCGGGTCGACCTCGGGCGTTGTCGAGTCTAAAAGCGCCGCGAGAGAGTGATAGTTGGCATCGAATAGCATTAATTGAAGGTGCTGAAATAGCAGGTGGGATGTTAATACAAGCTGAGACACGCAGCGGGATAGGCAGGACTCACCATTTTCGAAGCATGATCCCATCTCCTCCCCACCCGTTCCAAAATCTGTATCGCCTTCTGGTAATGGCTGAGCAGCTCCGGGTCCGTGACTTGTCCCTTTTCTTGGTCGATGTGAATCGCCAAGGAGAGAATGCCGCCGGCCAGGATGGAGGCATATGCATAAAACGACGACTGTACGTGGCAGCCAGAGGCGATGGCGTCCTCCACCACGCACGATATTGCGCGAGCATGAGAACAGCTGACTTCGAACGAGCGGGTCAGGAACTTTGGCGGCACCTTGCAGTTTCCCTTTTGCAGCCTCATCCGGAGGAGAAATGGGTGGTTAAGGAGGCAGTGGGTGGTGTGGAAGACGATGCGCGCAAACACCACGTGCTCAAGGGATTGAAAATCCAGGGTGCCGTCCGGTTTGCGATGTTGCTCCACGATTTGGGGGATCGTGGTGGTCTCGATTTGAAGGTGGTGGTCAATGAGCAGCAGGAAGGTGTTGAGTAGCGTAAAGTCGGACCTGGGATCCCACGGCGGCATCTCGTCAATCTCGCGCCCGTGTAAGACGTACCGAACGCATCGTCCCAGAGCCGTCGCGGCAAGAATCGTTTGAGTGAAGGTGCTGTTGACCGATTCCGTCTCGGACTTCCAGTTGATGAGCTGATGGAGCGTCGGCGTCTTCTTCCACAGACCCCTTCTGAACGTCTCCTCGTCGGTGGGCAGCTGTACGTGTATGTCCTCTTCGGAGATGGCGGGGGGACGGCTCTGACCGACGGAGACCAGCTTATCCAGCAGATATATGGACCAAAAGGCTCGCCGGTGCTCTTCCTGTTCAACCGGCGTCAATGTGCTTGACGGCTCCCTCATGAGCTGCAAATCTTGCGCAATGCGGACAGCAAGTCCGATCTTGAGCCATCCTGAGCTGGTACGACCACCTAAAGTGCAGATGTTCAGTCACCAACATGGTTTCCCAGTCTCTTACGGGAGCTACGACTTACATGTGAAATCCACCACTCCGAGAATGTTGCTAGCCTGTGCGACCGGTAAGCTGGGGTTGTTCTCGACTGTAAGATGGTCATTGAGGAGAGCCAGCCAAGCCTCTCTAGCATATGCCTCGGTAGCCTCGCGTCGCGAGCCACGGAAAAAGTCAGAATCGGAGAACTTGAGGGCGGATGCTAGAATGGCGAAGAGTAGACACTTTGGCACAAGGCCATAGTTGAGCCTCTCTCGGAAGCTCTGCTCGTGGAAGTATGAGTATGGCTGGTTATGGACGTGAAGAAAGTAGGTGTCGATGAGGTGAGCCATGACTGGGGGAGGCGGGGCGGTGGTAAATCTCCTGCTGCCGAGTCAGCGTTTGTAGGATGTCAGCATGGAAAGTGGCCTCAGAAGAACCCACATTGCATTCGAGATGTCGGAAACGGGTTCTGTTGTATCGGGGAGAGAGTTCTGGAATTGATGCTGAGGAGGTGATGGCTCTGTGAAATCTGGCGAGAGATCCTGGTAGTTACGGGATGCTGCTGTCAGGTCGGGGAAAGCCCCCGATGCGCCGCGGTTTTCGCCATTTCTGTAAGCAGTATTAGCAGGCGCCGAGATAATCAAACGATTGCCCCGTATGTTCTGAGATGAACGGTCCGATGCAAGAAGTTTAAACGCACAGGAAGCCTAACAAGCCCTGGCTGTGGAGCTGGGCAAGTTGCGATTCAATAGTGTTGATCCTGTTGAGCAGTTCCGGCTACATCCAAGGTCAGAACGCGCGCGTCTTTTACAGAGCTGGAGATTCGCAAGAGTTGGTTTCTCACATCAACGACGCCGGCACGAGGGAAAAGCGTCGAGGTCGAGCCCGGGGCAGGCGGCGATCTCTTTGCGCCATTGCCAGCGCTAGACGTCGAGCTCGGGGGGTTCGTGGCGGAGTAGGGCTCGTAGTGACAGACGCGATCGACTCGGCGGCAGTTCATGCAGCGAGGGCGCTCGCCGGAACACCTTGTTTTGCGATGCCTGGAGCATTTGCGTTGGCACACGCAAAAATGTCAGTTCGTGATGCGGATATTCATCCAGGCAGCTGCCAGCCCCGTCTCCCAGGCCAGAGGTTTCAATACACCGCCACTCAGCGCAGCCTGGAGCCCTGGAGCCCCGAGGCCGCACTCGTGCGACCATGAACGGGCAGCATCTCCCCCGGCCTGGATCACGGAGCAGCGACACGGGATAGATCTGAGGTTTCTGCGCACCGACAATTCGTGCATGCCTGGCGGATGCGGCGGATGGTGTTGACTATCGGCGGCTGCCGCGAGCGGGCATCGGACCGGTCCCAGGCGGACGCATCGGCTGCTGGTTCGGACATTGTGCTACCGCATGCTTCGGGGTCGAGCGGCGAGGACATGCAGCCATCACCTGGCAGTTGGGGCGCGATGCAGGCAACGGCAGAAGATGCAGAAGACGCCGATGCTGATGCTGCCAGAGAGGGCGCTGCTGCTGGTACTTGCTGGTGCTGCTGGTGCTGAATAAAAGTTGAGCGGGGTACACAGAGGTAATGTAATAGCGTGCCTGCATAAAGTTTGCTGGGCGCGCCGCGAGGCCACGGTAGCGGGCGAGGTCGCTGGTACTCGCAGCCGCCAGCAGCGCGACCTGCTGGAGGGCGGGCGCTGGGTGCTGAGTCGATGGGGCTGCAGCGGGCGCGGCAGCCTGTTTGCGGTGTGTGCCGCTGTGTGCTGCTGCTGGCGCGCTCCATGAGTCAGCGGCTGACGCAGCACGCGCTGTACCCTGGGCGCTAGAAGCCGGTACCCGGTACCTCTGAGGCGGTGTCCAGGTTGGTTTGGTTCGATCACTAAACGCTCTGCAGCATCCAGTGGTGATGATGAATTCTGAGCATCATCTCCAAGAGGCAGGGCTCCCTGTTGTTTCGCTCATTGTTCTTTCGTTTCTCCTGTCTTCTGGCCCCCAACTCACCTCCATCTTCAAGTCCAATGCGTCAGCATCCGGCTCTGCCTCGTGAGCTGGCGACCGTCTATTTGTCCACTGTCGAGCTGCAAGCCCCTTCGACAGGCTCGAATCCTCAGCGCCCGGTTGCGGCCAGTCGGCAGGTCATCTGGCTGGCGTTGCTGACAAAACGACCAGGCTTGGATAGCTCGGGAAAGGCAATAACATCCCGCCTGCAAGATGAGCTCGAGATCCCAATGCTGAGTGTCGTCTGTGGCGCAACTTTCGAGTTGCACACAGGAATGCAGATCTTGACGGGTGAACGTCGACTGCTCCATGAGCTTGTGAATGTCGCTTTCCGAAACCTGCTCGCTATGAATCAAGTCATAGTGTCGATATTTTGAGGTACTTTGAAGCCTGAGCCATTCCAGGCGTTCCGAGTACAGTCCCGTCGTGGATGGACCCGTCATCGGCCCTCATCTCGCAGCAAACGCCAGGTGACCGAGTCAACGAGTGCATCTGGAGCCACATCTCACAGCCCGCGGGCGAGAGAGGCACAGAGGCCGAGTCGCATATCAATATCGACGCTTCCAATCGTGTGCTACCAGAGAATTGGTGACGATCTGATACCGAGATGATGGATTGTGTGACACGGCATGCATGCCAAGTTTCATTGTGCCCTGTGAGGATTCAGCTTACATCCAAATTGAGACGAGGATACGACCCTCAACCAACACCATTCATGCGGATGGTAACGACGTCGATGATGAAAAGGACTTACCGGTCATCTAGCGAGTGTTGAAAATCCGAGATTTGCCCTGGACGAGGTGCAGATGCAAAGCAATGAGTGTTTTGCGCCTTCGCACGGCGTCATAAAACGATGGGCGTTTTGGGCCAATCCGGTGATCCGATCATCGTCGACAGTCCGCATCTCTCTTCCTCCAGGCAAGATCCGCGATCCGCCACGCATCGTCGCAATTTCCCCTGAAGATCCGGCAGAGGAATCCCGCGAGACAAGAATATGCAGATGATAGATTCCAGATTTTGCAGACGCGTCGTTGACGGTGATGCGGTGATACCCCTCCATGGCCGGAGTTGGTGGCCCGGTCCGCAGAGCGGTCCGCGTGGGGCAGCATATCGTCCGCAACGTGCTTGTGGATATCAAATGATGGATTAGTAGATGCTTTATCAGATTTGACATTGCATGTGATAGTAGATATGGTCATCAGCTTCGGAGTTTGACACATGTGGATAATGAGATTAAGCATAATGATGCCCCGGCTCATGGTGTGGTTGCTCTTAATTCTTGTGTACCCTGGAATGCCCTGCTGAAACAAGGCGCCATCCGCTATTCGATATACCTAATTGCTTGAACTTATGATATTTGAAAGAACAACTGGACAATCTCTCGTTGCTTTGCTCAATCGCTGTCTACCTGGGATAAAATTGCCTTCTGCAAGTGCGGTAATGAGACGACAGGCATGAAGACTTGATCATACCTTGAACTTCCGCGGGTCAAGATTCGACACATTGGCACTCTTGGCCTCGCCATCAAAGATGTACTCGGACATAAGCTTTCCTGTCCCCGGACCATTCTGAATCCCCCAACACGTATGGCCGGCAGCAACCCACAAGCCGGGTGTTGTCGTTGGCCCTATGAGAGGGCCGCTCTCTTGTCCGAACCGGATATGCCGTGGCAGGTAGCATGCCTGTTTCGCCTTGACAGGTGCCTTGGCCAATACGGGGCTCACGGTTGCGAAATAGGAGATGATGTCGTCGCAGTAAGCTTCATCGAATTGCACCTGGTCGGCTGTTTCGGGGAGCGGCACGACGCTATCGGGTTCTCCTGCAGCAAGCATTCAGTGACACCATCCTCTTCGGGGAAAGCACTTGACTTACCACAGGCATATGCCTCGCCAAAAGGCCGAGCATAGATTTCCGGATCTACTCTGCCCTTGTGGAATCTTTTCTGTCCCATCTTTGCTCGGTGTTCAGGGACAAAGTCCGATGGCAGTTCGATATCAGTGAACACTGCGTACGGAGTGACGTCGACTTCATAGACGACACTGTGCGCTCTCAGACCCTCAACCTTGGTACGAGGGAGCACTCGCCCAGTCCAGGGCCCAGCCGCAACTATAATGTCAGTCACGTCGGCGATTTTGCAAGTTTCGTCTGTTGTCCGGTCCAAGTACTCGACTCCCTCGACGCCAGCTTTCGAGGTGATGAGCTTCGTCACTTTTGCATTCGTTTTGAGGATGGCACCACCCTGTTGAGCCAGCTCTGCAATTGATGTAGTGAAGTGGTACGGATGCACCTGCGCAGTGTCGGAAGCTCCAGGTGTCCCCATCTCTGCCCATCCTCTGACCACCTCTCTGTCTATCCAGTCCAGATCTGCGGGGAGTTCTTCCTCCTGGAGCAGCTCCTTGGCCGCCTCATCCTGCTTTGGAAGCTTCTCCCACGCTTTGCCATCCTCGTCCACAGACTTTTGGAGATTGCTGAGCTTCTGTTTCGTGACTACCGCCTCGATGCTGCCGCATTTTATCTTACGGTAACCCCAGCGATTGGCTCCGCCGTGTTCAGCAGCAAGCTCTGCATGAAGCCTGAACGACAGAGGAACGAGGGACGCAGGATACGCCCAGAGCCCAAGAAGGCCGCCCGCCTTACCAGAAGCACCCTGAGCCACAGAGGGAGCGGCCTCCAGAAGGGTGATGGTGTGCAGAGCCGGGTTGAACTTGGGATGACGAGTCAGGTAGTAGGCGGTTGTGCTGCCAATAATGCCGCCTCCTAGAAGTTTGAGTTAGCTACATCGTATCAAGCCTAACCAGCCCATTTCTGAATCGATGTGAGATAGAGTAAGGTATGAACCCTTGCGTTTCTACCCTTGATGTTCAAGCGTGTGCTAGCGAGTCGTGGCGAGTTCTGGGCTGAGTGGATAGGCAAGAGTGCAAAGCAAATACATACCGACAATGACAATATTTCTCTTTGCCTCCATGGTCAGCTAGTAGAATCTATTCACAAAGACGCTGGAGCAGCATCAGGCTGTGCATGTCGAAGTTGAGATACTCCATGTTGAAGTGATGCTGGTGGGGGTTCGTTGAAGTCACCGAGATGAATGACGTAAGCTATTTTCTAAAACGAACTGCCCGTCCGTCAAATGACAGATACAGGCTGAAGTTCACGATACGAGGGCTGCTTTCGATTGTATCTCCTTCAGCGTCTGTAGCGTGAAGATGTAATAGGCCGTAACTTGACTCCTATGCCTGAATCTACTACACACGCATACTTTGGGCTTGGGCGTTTTTTTAATGCGCAGGGACTGTAAGTGGCTGAACTGTTTGGCTGTTCCCTTATAGTAGACCTTTCACACTTATAGGATAAATCAGCCACTGTGATATTGAACAGTCGAATACATGATGCTTTGTCATATATGAGAGAGAATATTTATTCATGCTACCAAGCAGGAATCAAATTGTACTTCAAGAACAGACGCATCTCTGAAAGAAGCCCAAATTCAGGTCCGGGGCATCTGAGAACTCGGACCACAGGGAACCCACTTCGCCCACAGTGAAAAGGAACAAGCGCCGCCTCCATCCATATCGATAAGCCCGCTATCAGAAATTTTGGGCGGCCTTGTATTATTTACCATGTCCAAACCTCCCATCACCGAGCCGAACGCAAAAAGAGTGCACCTCCCTCTCCGACCTCTCGCATCTTACTCTCGCATAATCCTTCACTCCTACATCTCCAATTCTTCTCGAAAATGGGTCGCGAACTACAGAAGAAGAAGCGCCGCTCCGGCCGCCCCCCCATCCGCCAGTCAAACAAGACCAAGAAGATCCTCAACCCGCGCGGCAACTCTGTCATTGCAAAGAACTGGTACGCCACAACCTTTGTCTCCAAATCCTCCTGAATCCATTCAATCTACAGCCCAACTAAACAATTCTTTTCCTTTGCGATACAGGGACAAGAAGGAGACGCTGGCGCAAAACTACCGCCGACTAGGCCTCCTCGCACGCCTCAAGACCCCCACCGGCGGCACCGAAAAGAAGCTCTCCTCAGAACCGTCAGCAGCACCCGCCACTACGACCTCAAAACCGGACCCCTTCGCCATCACGACGGGCGAGCGGGCCGTTCTCTCCGAAGCAAAGGTCGAGCGCGACGCCGCCGGCAACATCGTCCGCGTCCTCGGCCGCAAGGCGAACCCGCTGAATGACCCGCTCGCCGAGCTCGACTCCTCCGGCGACGAGCAGGACGACGGAGACGATGGCGAAGAATGGGGCGGCATCCACGATGACGGCGTGGGCACGACGGAAGTGGTCAAGTCGCTCATCGAGGAGGCCAAGAACCCGGCGCCGCCCAAGGTCCGGTACCTGAGCGAGCGCGAGACGGAGTGGTTGGAGACGCTGGTGGCCAAGTATGGCGATGATACGAGGGCTATGGCGAGGGATATGAAGCTTAATCCCATGCAGCAGACGGCGGCGGATATCGCCAAGAGGTTGAAGAAGTTGAAGGCGCAAAAGGAGTAGAGATGCGTGGGGGGAGTGGTGGAGTGTTTGATTTGACTCATTGTTCTTGTTTCTTAACATATATACATGGGCTGCAGAGGCCCGAGACGGGTGCATCATAATCACGGCGTTGGGGTAGTTTGAATATCAAGACCAGTGTGGTTCGTTTACCAATCCCAAAAGAGCAACTTTTGAATTTCACCGCCATCGTTATGGGTCTGATATTGTGGATAAAGAAATAAAAATAAACACTACGAGTTAGAATTCGTGTGCAATTGCCGGCCCTTCTATATACACCCTGGTATCTCATCAACGTTTCATCATGTTGTAGATGTTTCTAAACAAAAAAAAATCGGGATGCCGTCAACGCCGTAGAGATGATTCTACCCCAAGCAAACACAAGCATCCAGGCTCACCGGAGAGATCCTCCCCAGGTTTATATAGTTTGGTTGTTTGTTCAAGTTCATTGATAGTGCCTGCTACCGTCGTCATACGTCGTCCTTTGCCTTTGTGCGTGCCATAAGTCTTTGCACTCTCCTCCCCTTCAGTGCTCTATCCGGTCATAGTCGGCAGACGGGAACAGGACTGGGCCATCGGCATAGGTGTCTGAGTGATTTCCGCTGTATGGGCCGGGAGAGGGCGTCTTATGTTTGCCAAATTCCGCGCCGAGAGTACTTCCATGGTACTCCGTCTCGCTGTCGAACAAGGGGTTGCTGTTAGTCCGAGGGGGCAGAGCACCGTATCGGTTGGGGTCGTCAAAGTCATCGGCGTTGTAAGGACGGTTGTCGCCATAGCGGCTGTTCATGCTGGTGTTGTGGTCATCATAGGCACCGGGAGCATCCTGGTCGTCCATGTTGACCCGCTCGTAGGCCTCGTCGTCGTGAGGAGCCATGGAAAAGGCAGCCTTGTCAGGATCAATGTTGTCGCTACCGCCGATCTTGCGGCTGTCGTAGCCAGGGAGACTGCCGTGGAAGTTGTAGTACTGGAGGGTGTAGGCACTGAGAAAAGCTGTTCCTATCCAAAGGAGACTGTGGACAGATGGGTTAGTCTATAATACCTAAACACCGGTACGAGGGTCCTCATATCGTAACAGAAACACGTACGTCGCAAAGACACCTGCGGCAACGACAGCCTTGCTAATACCACAGCTACCGCCGCACTGGCCAGAGCTGTTGTAGGCTGCCTGAGTGGAAAAGGCCGAAAGCCAGATGATGATGTAGAGGCCATCGACGGCCAGCATGACGTATGGGTTGGCGAACCTGCGGGTGCGCTCAAATCGAGGAGTCATGATGAGGTAGATCCAGCCCGGGATGGAGAGGAAGCACTGCGAGTAAGGGAAAGAATATCAGCGCCCGAGCCGTTTTCTCTCTTGATGTGCTGTCTCGCGATGTGCGCAGACACTTACCACTGCGAAGGTCCATCCGTTCAGGCCCACAATCCGAGAGGTGTCGCCGCGGAAGACTGCAATCTCCAAGCAGAAGACCAAGAAGCCCAGGACGATCTGAAACGAGTGAAGACCCAGCTTCAGATTCGGCAGAATCTGGGGGTCGATTTCGAAGAGCGCCATGGTGCCGACGTCGCAGCGGTCGAGAGTCGGCGGCGGAGGGGCTGGTTATTCGAAGACGAGACGAGGCTTCGCACGATGTCTCGAGCAAAGCGTAACGAGCGAAGAAAAGAAAACGCAAACGGTGCGATGGATGTTTATGCGACACAGAGGGGGTCTTTGTTTTCCTGTAGCCGCCGCACCGGGAGATCAGCAGCAAAAGGTGGAAAAGCCTGGCGCGGCTGGAAGCTAGCAGGACTGAGGCTGAGCGGGATGGCGGCTGGCCTCCGTTTATGGTCAGCGGCTACCAAAAGTCCGGTAAGCTGATAGCACCGGATAAGGAACCTGTACCTTGGGCGTCGGTAACGGCAACAAGATTCGATGCAGTCGAGGCAGAAGAGGCGCCAGAGAGGAAAAGACGGACAAAGACACTGCGCGCGCTTGGCGAGAGAAATAACGCTGTTTGAGTGACAGAAGAACGAAGAAGCGGCTTCAAGCAAAGAAAAAGGATGGAGGGGGAGGGTCAGCTCTCATGCACTGGAGCCACGCGTTGCGGCATGGCAACCAAGCCAAGCTATTGATTGCCTGGGTTTCGGATTGAGCCTGAGCCACACAGCCACAGCCGCGGGCTTATTTGGGGGTTGGTGATGCTTGGGGCTGCGCCACCCGCTTGATGGTGGTTTACTGGAATCAACATGCATGTGCATGTGCCTTGGAATAAGGTACCTAGTAGTGATTGCTTGTTGACTTGCAGTGGTCTCTGTGCTGGATTACTGATGCCTCCGCATGTGGTTCATCTACTTAATCACTCTGCTGCATCACCAGAGACAAAAGGGAGTGCGCTGAAACTGAGGCTGAAGCTGACCTGGGTCTCGGCATTAAAGCCCCGGCATCCGGTATTTGTTGACGCCGGCATGACAGTATTAACTTGCGTATTTTCCACACTGGAGGGCTCGTGTTGAGGTAAACAGCCGCTACGTCATCGTCCCATGATCCATCCTACCCACCAGCTTCACATGAAAACGACTCACCTTGACCACCGCAGACACGACAACAAAGTTGCAATTCCTGCCTCTTCCGGCTACGCTGTAGTAACCCTAATTCTCGTAAACAAAAAACCACTCTCTGGATCTTTCTGCTTGATACCTGAAGCAAGTCCGCTCTTGTCAGCCAGTCGTGTCAAGCTGAGTTCTGCCCATCGTGGGCACCGTTCAGTTGCCAAAGGAACCCGGATCACGCCCATCTGCTCGCGGTCCGGGATGCTCTCCGGGCAACATCCTATCAGGCCCATTAAGGCAGCAATTTAGTCCTCGTCGCCGGTCTTGGCCCTAGAGGCCGGGCGGATCCGTCGGATATGCCCGGTAAAGCCCTCCACCACGGGCTTCTTCAGTAAGGCGACCCTGAGATGCGAGGTCAGGCCATCGTTCACGCACATGCTCAAAGAACACCAGGGAGACATCAGTATACATACCTAAATTCAGAGAAGCTAGAGCCTCCAGTTAGCTTCTTACGCTGCAGCAGAATAGATAGGATGTGGCCTTTGATGCCGTCCGATCCATTAAGTTACAAATAAGAAGAGTCTTCCTATTTGAACAGACAAGAATGCCTAAACAGATAACCCTATCTTTTATGATAGAGTCGCCCCTCCACAGCAAGACACAGTATCACACTGGCATTTCAGATGATTAGGAAAGTATGAGTAAAACATCGTTTTGCTTCACGGCTTCTGCCGCAGGCGATCTTGCTCTACAGCTTATGCTGTCAGCAACCTAATCCTTAACCTAAAGAGTTCAGTATAACCCTCTCTTAAAGTAGTCATTGACATCGACAATGTCATTGGCTCATAAGCTTAACTATTAATCTACCATTTCTATTAGTGCACTGTGCATTTTTACCCCTACAGCTTCCCAACCGTGCTGCGCTCAACAATCATATCCGCAATCTTGGCAATCGAGGTGCCACCCATAATCTCAAAAGCAGTGAGCTGGGCACCAAGCTCCCGCGAAATCCAGTTGCGCAGGTCAACAGACATCAGAGAGTCGACGCCATAGTGCGACAGCGACTTGTTCAGCTCGACATCGGCAGGCGAGATGGACATGGCCCTCGCCAGCCTGCCAGCCAGGGCGTCCAACACGATTTGAGTGCGCTCGCCCGAGTCCGGGGCCTGTCGGAAGCGTACTCCCACCGAGGCCTCTTGATTGACTTTGGCACCTGCTCCGGCGGCCGAGGCGGGAGCAACGGAAAAGGGGGCGAACAGCGGCCTTTCCATCTTCTGAGGTGGGTTGCGGCCGCGGGTAAGACAATCAATGGGAGTCCTGAGCCCGAAGAGAACTTGGCCCCTGGCCTCCGACACGATGGCGGGCTGAGGAGCGGTTGGGTCGCAGAATATGGAAAGCGCGGCCAGCAGCTCGGTATCCTCGATCTGGTTCATGTCATCAGAGTTCTCGCGCTGCTTCTGATACGCGCCATTCTCGGCGACGATGCCAATGTTGCGCATCCAGCCAAGGTCGAGAGACAAGGCCGTTTTCCCCTGAGCAAGCCGCTGTCTTACGAGAGCGTCTTGGAACGAGCAGCCCGCCGAGTAGTTTGCACTGGCCACCTGACCAATGACGCCAGCAAGGGAGGACAGCATGATGAAGAAGTCGAGATCCACTGGCAGAAGATGGTGCAGGTTCCACGAAGTCTGCCTCTTGGAGCGCATCGTGAGGTCCCACTGGGCAAAAGTCATGCTCTCCTGGAAGATGGCGTCCTGAAGCACCATGGCCGCGTTGATACAGCCTTTGATGGGCGGCATGGTGCGATCGCACTCGTCCAGAACATCAGCAAGCTCCTTTTCCGAAGACACGTCGCACTGGGGTGCCACGACGTTGACACCGCGAGCTGTCAGTTCGTCGACTAGTTGTCGGGCAGCCTTGGTAGCAGCTCCTGATCGAGATGGTAGAATCAGGTTCTTGGCTCCGCGGTCAGCCATCCACCTCGCAATGGCTCGGCCGAGGCCACCAGATCCTCCAGCGATCAAGTACGATGCGTTCTCGTCAAATTTCCAGCTTCTTTGCTCCTGTATGAGTTTCTACATGTGTTCAAGTCAGTATGTCAGTCCAATCTACGACGAAGACCGTGTGTGCGTCCCAAGGTACTTACCGGTACTACATCATCAGCTTGTGGCATGATGATTACACGATGTGAGGCACCACCTCCTTGGACTTCTTGGAAGGCCTTTCCAACCTCTGATGCGTTGAAACAACGCAATTGCTGAAGACGTCCAATTCGGCCTTGTTCCAGGAGCTCCATAGTCTTCTTCAGCAGCCTGCCAGTCGTCTTAAGGTTCAGGCCGACAACGTCGATGATGGAGATGCTGACATTTCGGTCAAGCATGCCGAGAGAAAGAGTAGTGCTGGCATCGGAGTTGGTGCGCTTCATCTCTAGGAAGTGCCCGCCAGAAGCCAAGCATTCATATGAAGCTCTGGTAATGTCGTCTTGAGCGAGCAGATTGAAGATAGCATCCACTCCGTCTCCGCCAGTCAGCTCCATGACACGCTGGGCAAAGGTGATTGTTTTGACGTCGAGGATGTGGTCCTCAGCCAAGCCCATGCTCTTCAGCGCTTCTTGCTCCACTGGGCTTGAGTAGGTGACAATGATTTCAGCACTCTGCATCTGAGCCACACGAACGGCAACCTGGCCCACGGCACTCGCAGCAGCCGCATGGATCAGAACCTTGTCTCCCTCACCGAGGTGGGCAACTTCAACCAGGGCGTGGTAAGCTGTCATGGTGGGGATGAGAGCAGACGTGGCTTCCTCAAAAGACATTGATTCCGGAATCTTGCAAATGGCCTTGGCGTCTGCGCGAGGATACTGCCGCATACAGCCTGGAGCCACCATGCAGACTCGGTCGCCGGGTTTGATGGAATCGCAATCTCGTCCAACCCGAGTGACGATACCAGCGCAGTCAATCCCCAGCTCGAGACCATTATGAGGCACTTTGCGGCGTCCCATAGCAGCTTGCGCGTCTTTATAATCAGCACTCCAGGCTTTGCCATCAACTTCAACCTCGTTGGCCCCCAGTTCACTCTCATATTGACCATCCCGGACAAATTGCAAGGTGGTCACACCGTCCTGAGTGCCGACAGAGAGCTTAAGTGCCGGTCCGTCGTACCAGGACTTTTGCTGCAGGCGGCGCGACAAGAGAGATGTGAGAGTTTCGTTGCCAGATAAATCCTCAACGGCCCTTCCGGTCATCAAAAGCCCATCCTTGACGAGATACTCAACCTCGCGAGAAGGCGAGGACCCGAAGCTAGCGTCGAAGACGCTTTCAATGAAGTGCGCGATCTTGAAAGACTCCAATTTGCCTTCCATGGCAAGCGTAATGATCTGGCTGCTGGGCTTTTCGATTCGGATCGAGCGGAACAATCCCTGAGCGGCTCCAAAATCGGCGTACTCTTCACTATCCGTGCCACTGGCCGTTACCCAGAGAAGTTTGGATGTTTGGCCCACCAAGTACTGGAGGCACTTGAAGTTGGTTTCTGAAAGGTTAGAGAGCAGAGGCTGGTTATTGACCTCAGCGATGCAGACCACAGTATCTTCCGCGGTCAAGTCATCGAGAGACTGCGTCAGCTCGTCCAAAGAGAAGGCACAGATTCTCGAAGCCTTGATGCCTTGAGGATCCAGTTGCTGCTGCACCAGTCCAGCCAGCCGAGTCTGTCGATAGGACTTTTGCTCATCAACAATGATGACAAGCTTGCCCGGCTTGGTCGCGGGAGCCGGCTGAGGCTCTTCGACGGCCGTTGTGAGGATGATGCTGGCAATGTGACATTCATCGCTCTTGTAATCGCGGAATATCACATCGTTGCCTGAGAAGCCATTATCTCGCAAGCACTTATCCCAAAGGTTCTCAGTAATTGCTGCAGAATGCGGCCTCCAGGCCTCCTTCGCCACCCACCATCCGGGCACCAGACCTGCCATGAAATTGGTCGCGATGTCGTCTGGATCAATGACCTCGAGTAGAATGAGACGACCGCCCGGCCGCAGCGCCCTACGGACTTGTTTCAGACTGGTCTCTAGGAGAGGGACGGCGTGCAGCACGCTGGCTGCAACGACGATGTCATAGGAGCCGGGCTCGAATCCCTGCTCATCGATAGGCTTATCCACGTTGAAAGTCTTGAAGGTAAGGCGGCCCTGAGATGCGAGGTCAGGCCATCGCTCACGCGCACGCTCAAAGAACATCGGGGAGATGTCAGTATACGTGTATTCGGAGAAGCTAGAGCCTCCGGTTCGCTTCTCGCGCTGCTGCAGAAGTGATAGAACGTGTTTTGTCATGCCGCCCGTACCAGCTCCGACTTCGAGGATTCGTTGAGCAGGACGCTCGTGAGCAACCAAGTCCAAGAACGTACCAAGTCGACCATCTTGGCAAAGCTTCTGGAAGAGTTCAGCATAAAAGAGTTCTGCCTGGTCTGATCCGAACACCACCTGCAGAGGGTCAACTTCTCCTGTGAGCATCTCGAGGAGCCTCCGAGCGCAGGTGGTGTACAGCTTCCACGCCGGGAGAGTCTCTTCAACCTTGACCAGCCGAGCTTCCAAGTCCTCGTCACTAATGGTTTCTCCGAGTCGTCTCTTTTCGGGGCTCATGTTGCCGGTATGGTGCTCCATCCACTCAACGTGGCGAGTCAGAGCCTCCGGGACCTTGGTCCGGTCGAGCTTCTGAAGGACTCTCATTGAGTAGAGCTCCAGCGCTAAGCACATGCTGGTATGATTCTCTACAACTGCCGTCTCGTCGTTATCAAACGAATCAGCTTCGCAAATGCGAGCTAACTGCTCTGGTTCAAGCATGCTCAGCTGTGGCTTCCATTCGACACTGTAGAGCAGCTTCTTGTCCGTCGCCTTTGCGTTGTTGGAGATGGACGCCGTGGTGGCCTGCCCTATCGTGCATAGCACAGTGCCATCGTCAGCCAGGGCAACGATTGTGCCTTGCTCACCATAACCTTGAGCCCCGTCGAGGTCAGCGACCGAAGTAGATGTCGCCATCCACCGAATATTGCCAGTCTCAGGGCTTTGCCACTTGGGGCTGGAGGCAAACCAACCGTCTCTTAAACGAGCGGGAACATTAGCGGTCGGCTGCTGGCCGGCGCTCACTCGCAATACGTGGAAAGCCTGATCAAGGACGCTCGGATGCACTAGACTTTTGGTCTTGTACCTATCCTTGGAAACATCCACACGAGCCACGGCGGTAGCGTTAGAATCCCAACCCACGTCTCGCAGAAGTTGAAACCATTCTCCATACTGAAGGCCTACTTCAGCCGCCTCACGATAGAGGGTAGTGGAATCAATGGGCAAGATGCACGATTGTGCAGCTTGGTTGTATTGGTCACGGGCTTTGTCGTGGCGAAGGTGCCTTTGCTCTTTGCCGTACGTGCTTGTCGGCTCCTCGTAATCGACTTGGAGGCTGGCGTGGAAGCATTTCGTCCAGCTGTCACGCGTATAAGAGAAGATATCCACTTCGAACAACGCGGGGCCATTCTCGTCGTCTGCCGTTAGCGTCTTCAATGGCCGAAGATGAACTTGGGTCTCGGTTCTATCCTCCCATTTCTCATGAATGATGATGGGATTGAGAAACTCTGCCTCCTTGACGAGGAAGCCGGCTACCTCCCGCCCTTCGGGGATCATCTGCTGGACAGCCTCAATAGCCATTACCAACATTCCGGCCGCAGGATACAGAAGCGTATCTGTGATTTTGTGGTGGCCAGCCCATGGAATAGCCTCAACAGCCAAGAGATTTCTCCAGCGAGGAACCAGAGGGTTCCAATCGGATACTCGAGCTCCGAGCACGTCACCCTTGACATTGCCACGAAGTCGGAAGTCGCGGCTAATTCGTGATTCCACCCAGTATTTGTGAGACCGATCAAAAGGATACTCGGGTGTATCGATGAGGAAGTTTGGTTTCTTCGAAAAGCTGCCATGCTGAGCGATGGGCGTCTGGTTGACAGCCTCGATGGATACGTTGTGCCCCAAGCAGAACAACTGTCCCACAAGCTCCAATGTCGTCTTGATAGGAGGATGAGATCTCTGCAGTGCAGCACTATATCGGATGGTGCGCTTCTTGTTCCTAGCCTGGCCGATTGTATCCTGGGCCACTCTTCGCAGAGCAGGGTGAGAGCCAATCTCGACGAGATCAGTAATGTTGCTCAGCCCGACCTTGACTTTGGATGGCTCCTGGGTCAGCAGCTGCACAGCATCGGCGAAGCGGACGGGGGAAACCATGTTGTCGACCCAGTATTGACCCTTTGCCAGAGCAGCCGGACGCACCACCTTGCCAGAGACGGATGATACCATGGGAATACCGCTAACAACCTTGAGATCCTGACGCGAGGCGCTCTCGAGTGATCCCATCAGCGCCAAGTATTCTTCGGCGATAGCTTCCATTGCCCGCGAGTGGTATGCAACCCCAGTCTTGAGCTTCTGAGCAAAGATGCCATCATTGTCAGCTTGCGCTTTGATGGCATCAATAGCCGATTCCGGACCGGACAGGGTGCAGTTGAGAGGGCTGTTGATACAGGCCACGCAGACAGAGCTGGCCTCAGCACCAATCTTGGAGAGGTACTCCGAGACATTAGCTTCCGCCAAGTTGATAGACATCATAGCTCCAGGAGATGCCTCATTAGCGACTCTCAATTTTCCTGCAAGTTGGCCTCTGAAGTACGAGACTTTGCAGGCTGATTGTAACGACAGGGCACCAATGGCATAGCTAATACACAAGAATATGTTAGCAGACTTTCAACAACCGGAGGCAACTTATAACGTACGCAGCGGCAATCTCTCCTGAAGAGTGTCCGACAACAGCCTTTGGAGCGATACCGAAACTGGCCAGCAGTTCCAGCAGAGCGATCTGAACCGCTGTCGACAACGGTTGGCTGTACTCTGGCAAGTTGATGTTTTTGCTGGAGCGCAGCTCATCTGTCAATAAGGGAAATTGATTGTCAGCCATGTCCTGAGGTATCGAAGCATGAGGATGGTTGTCCTACCGAAAATCGACCATGTACATCCAAGGCTCTGGTAGATACCATCAATCTGCCGGAGCGTATCGGCAAATACGGGATACTTGACCAGGTCCCAACCCATGTCTGTGTACTGGGCTCCCTGTCCGGTGAACACAAAGGCCAGAGTAGCATCTGGAGAGCTCCTCATGGGCTTCACAGGATCAAGATCTGCGGTGCCACCTTGAGCCTCTGAAAGACCGTCTTCCGCGACAATGGCAAAGCTTCTCCAGAGCATGTGTGACCGGCGAGCTGCCAGCGTGTAGGCCAGGCTATCTAGCTTGGCACGGTTGCCCGCTATCTTCTCCTTGTAGAAGAGCTCCTGGTCGCGTAGGGAGCGTTTGGCGGCCTGCTCGTCTGCGGCGCTCCACACAAGCAGCCTAGGAAGACCTTCGGCTGTGGAAGAAGGCGGAGACGTAGCAGCGGCTACTTTGGCACGTGCAATTCTCTTGAGATCAGCAATGGCTTGGTCGCCCGTGCTGGAGAAGTCGTCGATACTCGGGGATGATGTCGAGTCCGCCGAGCCATTGGCCACATCCTCGTCGCCAGCAGCCCCAACTGTGCAGTGATTGCCAGGCAGATTCTTCTCCTTGAGGTAGTGCAGCGCATCGTCAATCACAACATGCGTATTGGAACCGCCGAAGCCAAAGGAGTTGAGCGAGGCCCGACGAACGCCTTTGCTGGGCCAGGGGATGCTTTTGTCGGGGATCTGAGAGAGAGAAGTTACAAGTCAGTTGAGATTGGCCACTTCCTCAGACTCCATGACTTGGTGATGAAGGGGAGAAAGAAATAGGCGTACCGCAATATTCCAGAATTCCGCGTCTATGGTAGAGTTGATCGTCTCAAAGAGTGCGTTTGGCGGAATGATGCCTCTTTCGAGGCTCACTGAAGATCGCAGGTCAGTATATCAGACCACTGCATACATCAGACCAGAGGGCGAATTGAAGACTTACAGATGACCTTTAGCAAGCCGGCAAGGCCGCTGGCACCTTCGAGATGGCCAATGTTCGATTTGACGGAGCCACTGTAACAATCGCAAGCCGTGTCAGCGACATGATGCGGTACGGAAGAAGAGGCTGTACGAAGAAAAGAGACAAGAACTGGAAAGAACGAAGATGAAGCAATCACGGGACTCACATGTAAAGCGGCTCCTTCTCGGATCGGAACTTGCGAAACACTCGACCGATGGCTCTTGCCTCGATCGGATCTCCCACGGGGGTTCCAGTTCCTGCATTTTAGAGCGGTCACGAGACCTCGTGTCAGCAAATCTGCGCACTTTTCTTCTTCCTGTCTTTTCTTCCATCTTTTCCTTGTCTCAATTCTCCCCTTCAACCACAGGCTGACTTACCGTGAGCCTCGACATATCGCGTGTCGGCAAGCGACAGATTCGCCTGCTGATAGACGTGCTGGATCAGCTCTTGCTGGGCCTGCTGGCTGGGCTGTGTGATGATCGGGGTGTGTCCATCCTGGTTCGAGCCCGATGCCCGAATGACGGCACGGATCATGTCTCCATCCCGCACGGCTGCAGAGACGGGCTTCAGCACAACGGCGATAATGCCCTCGCCTCTGGCATAACCGTTGGCCCGCTGGTCGAAGCTGTAGCACCGACTGTCCGGTGACAGGAAGTTCTGATTTGACAGCAAGTGGAAAATGGTCGGGTCCAAGAGCAGATTCGCACCAGTGACAAGGGCCTGTCGTGGATGAGATTCGATAATCAGCCATTTTGCCTTTCAAACCACTACGGCGGGAATGTATTATGCCGTCGTTTCTCGGGGATTCTCCGATTCACCCAGATCGGGGCAATGGGGACTGACAGGGACCGCCAGGGACAGGGGATAGGAGCTTATTCATCCAACTTACACATGATGCATCACCACTCCGAAGTGTCTTACATGCCATGTCCACGGCAACCAGGCCACTGGAACATGCCGTGTTCAAATGGACACTTGGTCCATGCAGATCGAAGAACCAGCTGATGCGGTTGGGAATCATGCACGATACCGTGCCACCGGTAATGGTGGTGCGTTCCACATTATCAGGGTCCATTGCCATCAATCGTGAGTAGTCTTCCAGCATGGACGCATGGAATACAGCCGTCTTTGAACCTCTCAGGGCACTTGTTGTGAAACCGGCTACAAATTGTCAGCTCGATCAGGGAAGATGAAGAGGAGGGATGGTAGTGTATCGTGCAGTCTTTCCCAAATAAGTGACTCTATCCACGCTTACCCTTTTCAAAGGCCCTATATGCAGTCTCTAGAGTCATACGCTGCATCGGATCCATTGCCGCAGCTTCCTTCGCTGTTACCGAGAAGAAAGGGGCATCAAAGCAGGTGATATCATCTGTGATGAAATGGCCTCCTCGAGGATAGGGCTTATGGAAAGCAAGCAGTTAACGAACGACGATCTTCTCTGGAATCCAAAAGGCATGACGAGAAGGCAAACAATACCTTAGTGGCATTTGTGTCCAGGAAAGACTTGGCGTCCATGCGTTCATCCGGAAAGCTGGTCATGAGATTTCGACGGCCGTCCAGGACTTCCCAGAAGCTCATATCGTCGTTCACATCTTGGGGAAGCCTGAAAGAAAATCCGACAACAGCAATGTCATCGTTTGCCTGAACGGGCATATCAACTACAGCTGCGGTTTGAGACATGATAATGGTGACAATGTTGAGCACGAAGTATGGGCAAGCGTGTTTTTAGGAATTGGACAGGCAGGAGAATCTTGTTTTCAACAAAAGAAGAGGAAGAAGCCGCAGAGGAGGAGGATGGGAGGGCAGTGGCGGCGGTTGTGGTGCTGTTGTGATGACGGTCAAGTCCTTGTGTTCTTTACGAGAGTAATGAGGGAGCCGACCAGAATCTGATTGAGGATTTGAATACCCTTTATCTACTCTTCATGATCCTGTTGTCTACACGAGCGTCCCAATTTTATAAAACACTCCAAGGAGGCTAAGCCGTCGCTTCTCAGCTTCCAAAAGGTTCCAAAGCAGACCAGATACCGTCAGAGCTGCTCCATCTGATCAAGCGAGAGCCTGGAATCGATCAACCCCTATCGACACAGTCGGCGTAAAAAGCTACTTCCCGGATTAACGCTTACCTGTTACTTGTAACTCCGTACAAGTTACTATAATCTTCCTCCTTGGCACGGCGCCTGCTGTGTCCGGGGCTGAAGAAGGTCGAAGTCCGGATGGATCTCTCGGTTACAACCAGGGACTCTGGAGGGCTAGCAAAAACGTACTAGAAACGGCCAGTTACCTAGTACTTCATCAATATCCGGTTCACCAGGGTTGCTTCCCTTTGATTTCCTGCGCAGGAGTTATATATATGCTTTTTTCTGGTGTTGGGTTAAGGTTCGGCGTGTCGTTGCGTTCACGTTGGTTGACAGCCCTGCGGTGGCACGTCAAACTTGGATGCTCCTCTTTCTAGAATGTTAGGGCCAACAACGTTCATGCAGAATCTGCATTGAGATGGGAACGCACAGACGGGCTGTTGGTCGAGCTGTCAGTGATCCTTCCTGCCGGTACAGATTGGCCCAGCGGCCCAAGGAATTGGACAGCCCCGATCACCGTTGAAGGACCCTGGCAATGGCCTTAGTATCTGCGCTTGCAAAGTAGTAGCTACTTGCACAGGTAGTATTGCTACCCAGTATCTGTAAGGGGTACAGGCTTTCGGATTGGTTAGCACAGAGGGATGGCCCATTCCGTCCCGCATACTGGTGTAGAAAATGGACCTCGCAGGGGGGGCAAACGACCCCGTTGATACGACTATGTAGTCTAGGTCGTTCTGCCTCGCAGTCGAGCGTAAGAAATAAACACCTGCCCCAGTTAGTTGGTAGCAAATCATGATTTCTCGGTCTACGGAACCCAGTCCGGATATCTTTTCCAAGATGGCGCGATGCAAGTGCAAACTGAAACACGGCCTATCATATCATGAGGCTATACTACCATCATCAGAACCCAGATACCTGGGCCGGTCTCATCCGAGCAGAGAGCAGCAATGTCTGTGCTTCGTATGATGTACCATGGCTGTCATGAAGCATCCCACTAACTGCCCGTATATCCATACGTCCTTTCTGTGTCTCTCACCTTCTCGGGGCGGTCGGTAGGTTCATCTGCGTCGGTTTACCGCCCTTTCGGCTTGCCGACTGTGATCTCTGCCTACGAAGTATTTGTAAGTACCTAAGATAACAGTTCCCCATGACCACCGTTGTAGCTTTATCTAGGTAGGTACGTAGGTGAGGTATGTAGTACTCCATATATCCTTAGCGAAGTTGGCCCATTCGCTGATCCTGGGGAGTTGCATTTGTCTTTCCAAATGCCGTCGCTACGGACTGCATATTGCACCGAGCGTTTTCCTTGGCAAGATGCAGATTTACGACGGAGTAGGGAGACCAGCAGTGACGACGACCGACGACGGCTTTCGCATCAGTGCTCCATCTTGGAGGCCTTGCCATATTTGCCGACGGCCCGCCTCCCCCCTTCTATTTGCCAACTTGCGAACCGTGCTTCAAAATGAGTTACAGTTGAGGCACCGACGCCAAACTTGGTGGCTTGATGATCGTATTACAAGAGCAAGATCGGGAGAAGTGAGTAGATTTTTCCTGTTTAGGTACTTCGTAACACTACATCACCCTGCCTCAGTCGAAGAAGAGATCTGCGTTCATCTTCGTTTACTTGTACTGACTTACGAGTAGTAGTCGTGCGTCACTGGTTAAGGGTTTAACCTAAATAATGCACGGCATTGCTACCACAAGCAGAAAATCTTTCGCCGTTCAATGAGGCGCAGGTTCTAGCATCAGATTGTGCCAGGTTCATCACCCCCGGGACTTTTACCGGTAGGAATTCCCAACCCACCGGTTGACCCGGCCCGTCGAACCGGTACAGAACAGACGTTACGTGTGTTGTTACGTGCACTAGACTACGACCTAGTGCACAAAGTAAGGCCGAGGGGTCTGATTTACATCTTGCTCTCTCCTTCGCTTCTCCCCCCAAGTATAGTAAGCGAAGTAGCGGTAGTTGAGTGCCGAGGATGTGGGAGGACAGGGCAGGGCAAGGGCCTTGGCGAGGCACGGACTTGAACCGGCCGGCGGATATAGACGAGATGATACTTGTAGGAGGGAGGAGAGAACTGCGGTGAATAGACCCTTATTAGGAAGAGTCGAGAAGTCCGTTGATTTGGCAAGATGGGCGTATGTAAGTGGTGAGAGGCCTTTCCTGTTTCTGTCCTTACGCGTACTAATGCCTGTGCTACTGCTTGTACTACTACTAGGAGTACAGGGAAGAAGAATGCGACATATGATACTTTGAAGGCTTGTTCTACGTGAAAAGGGAGCCATCTCCCGTTTAGCCAGATTCCCGAAATAGCAATTGCTTCTTGTCACTCCCCACAACGCTTCATTTCAGGGGACGGTATGTTGCACCGTGATCAGTATTACATGACAGTACTGATGCCAGTATTACTATGTGCTTCTATCTATTACCATGTACGGATTGCTTAACCAAGCATCGTACCACATCGCTCAGGCCCTATTATGTCCTATCCCGACTGTGCTCGCTCAATCGTCCGCTCAATGACCCGGACCGTCCCCGCCAGCCCCTCGTCCGACCTCGCCCCCGGCACCTCATGCCCCAGCTCGTGAACAAACCTCTCCCAGGTGAAACAGCAGCTGGTGCAGCTCCTCCGGATCCTCCAGGCCGCCGCCGATCAGGACGCCGGCCAGGGGCGACAGCGACACCAAGTGGGCAAACGGCTCGTTGGCGCCAACGACATGGGCCGTGGGGACGCGGATCGCGGTTCCGTCGACGACAGGGATGAGGAATCGAAGGGCCGGCGGATCATCCCCCTCGAGGATCCCGGCCGGGTCCAGCGGCGGCGCCGCGCTCATCAGGATGCCGCACTCGAGGCCGGCGAAGCGCTGGCGGGCGTCGTGCGCCAGCAGCGTCGCCGCGACGATGCCGCCCTCTGAGAAGCCCATGAGCCCCTCAAAGGGCCCGTTGGCGTCTATGAAGTCAACGAGGCCCTGCAGGACCTGCTGCGCCTGGGCTGGGCTGGCTGGCTGCTCGAACCAGCCGAAGAATTGGTCGGCTACGGCCTCGGCCCCTGAAGAGTGAACGTCAGATGCCAAGTCGAGGATTTTTCCATGAGACATGTGGAATCTTTTTTTCTTTTCTAGGGTAAGTTAGTGACCAAAAGTCAAGCTCACCTTCGCTTGGTTCTGTCTCAACAGGGCCATCGATGAAGACAAACTCATGGTCACTGAGCTGCTCTCGGAGTCTAGCTAGTAGTCGAAGGGACAGAGTGTCAACGTATTAGCACTTTCATAGCTATAGCATCTCGCCAGTTATGCCAGTACTAGGTGCATGAGAGGCAGGAGATGGGCTGATGCAACGCCAAAGGGAAACTCACCTGTCTGCAGCTCGAAAATCTAGCCGAGGGGAAGCCAGTGTCAGCGAGTCTTCCGCGGTAGACAGTCGTCTCAAACGTTACCTGGGCAGAGGTTCCGCGGCCATGGAGACACAGAAACCGCATCTTGCTAAGCTGCTGAATGCCTAATTCGTCGATTGACAGTTACGTGCAGGTCGGAATCGGGAGCCCAATCGCAGAATGTCACAGACTTTTTAATAGGGGTACCCCTTGTGTGAGCATCAGTTCATCTTGAGTCCATACGAGTACACGCACATCCACGCTTCCTGACTTCGTATCGTACATACCGCATTTTCAGGGAACTGGCGATTCCCTTGAGGCGGTATTTGTCTCGCCTCTATGCCTTTTTCCCGCGAGTTACTAGTATCCCCCCTTCAAAATCCTTCAAGAAGCCAGCATGGATCGCTTGTTGTCAGCCCCCCCTGGCTTTGCCCAGGATGCTACGCAGATGGGCTCCAGTTACCAGGGTCCTGTTGCACCTCTTCTCGAGTCCCACCTCACTGGGCGGCAAAGTGATTCGTCCGCTTATTCCCTCTGCAATCTTGGCTGCGCAATCAGATAGTCCATGTATGGAGAACAGCATCTAGACTAGTATCCGTCTTTGCAGGGTTGCATCCACTGTACACGGAGGCAGTTTGTCTGAAGTACGGGGGTTTACGGAGAGAGAATGGAAGGATGAAGCTGTCGTGAGGGTTGCTTCTCTAGCTTGTGGCGAGCTGAAATGCAGTCGTACGAATCAGTGAGTTGCTGAATTCATGCGCATGAGTAGTAGTTGGCTCGGCTTTGGATGGTTGTTGGGCGAGAGGTGCAGTAGCTGGGGTTCTCCAACAAGAAGGATTTGAAGATATAACAGCAGCACGACAGCCAACAGTTCAGCAATCGTATGACAGAGGCCTCTCATCCTGCCTTACAGCTGGCGGCGGAGTACATGTGAAGAAGGTCATTCCGTTATCCCAGTACCGAGCAGTCTGTAACCGTTATTGTTACCAAGTAACAGCGTTACGTGTAGTACGCCTCGTTCGACAACATTCCATACTTGTCCCGATCAAACACCATGGCTCTCACCCTTCCCGCTGGCGCTGCGGACACCATTGTCCGCAAAAAGGCGATGTATTGCCGTCTCGCCGACACCAACGAATGGAGCCTGGCCGACAAGGTCTTTTTGCCCGATTTCGAGTTCAAGGCAGTCGACGAGCAGGGCACAGTCATCAACATCAACGACACCGACTACCACTGGACCTCGCTCGCGGGCTGGGTCGACTATTTTAGCAGGATATTCGCCCCCATCCAGACGATGCACGTCGTTGGGTATCCCGAGCTGGAGCTGGTGGCCCCGGACGAGATGAAGGCCGTCTTTGGCGTCACGTATATGGTCGGGACCAAGGAGGCCGACAAAGGGGTGCATGGGACCGGTGGAGGACACTACTACGAGACGTGGAAGCTCAAGGACGGCGACTGGTTCTGCCAGAAGATCAAGTTTGTGAGGATCTACTGGAAAGAGACGACTCTGTAGTGGATCAAGGATTTGCTGGCGATCCAGCAGCGGGTGCGAGTACTGCGGTTGCAAGCCGAGTAATATCCCGTATACTACTACTAGTCGACCTACAACTACCGTATCACATGCTTTCAGATACTACAAGTATACCCACCTACGATACTGACTAGTACTCCGTACCTTGCCATATTTCATACATACGAAAGTTCGTGCATCCAGTTTCTGTCCCCTGCCTTGTTGCCCCGAGGTTTTCCAGCGAAGATCCTTCCCATAGCGGGCAGATGAGGGAAAAAAAGGGGGGGAAGGGCGGGAACTTTGCTCAACAACGGCTCAAGCCAATTCCCCCCGGTCTAGCTGGAGTGCTGGATCTGTTCCAGACTCCATAACGGGAGCCTGGAAAATCGTCGCCGGTGCTACTAAAATCAAGGTGATCGACAGAGGCTTAGACGATAAAGTTGAGTCCGAGTGTCCGCTTTCCTGCAGACAACGCTAGACTATTCAGACGACACGATGAAACATGCTCAGAGAGAAAGGACAAGTCAAATAGTACTCATCAACCAGGAGGCGAAGAGAATGAAGAAGGAAAAAGAAAGTAAGAAAGGGAAAAAGCAAAGAGAGAAAAGAGAGCTTTGCCGTTGTTGACGCTGGTTGCCTGCATGCAGCAAGGATCTCGGCTCGGTACTGTACTTGGACTTGACTGCAAGTGGTGAAGGTCTATTTGTCCGTCCTTTCTCCCCCCCTGAGTCCTCGACCCACGGTCCTAGTTTCGTGCTAGTAGCCATTGTGTAAGATTCCAAGTCCTCTTGTCTGTTTTGTCTCTAGCAGACTATTACTGTATACGAAGAAATAGGCGCTGTGCATACTTGGCGTTTTTTTCATTGTCTTGACTGACAAGGATTGCGGTGCAAAACCTGTAATGCCTAATACGGGGAGCTGCCAGGAAGAACAAGCACAATGCTTACAGCCTCCTGTCCCGAACCGGGACTGATCGCTTCGGGAATCAGAGATTTGATGTCAATGCCGCATCAAAGAGAACCTTGCAGCAGCAGCAGGACTGCCCTTGACGGGATTTTCTTTTCCCGAAACCCATTTGTGCCCTCTCACCTGCATGTGTTAGTTGAACCCGCCGAGTGCCGCGACCAGGGTGTCGACAGCCGCTTACTACTATTATACGACTATAGACAACAACTTGTATGCAGACGAATTTATAATAGCGGTGACGACTTCTACACCTGATATAGTAGGTCGAGTGAGGATTCTAACAAAGACAGACCCCTATCTGCATTCAGAGGGGCACGATTGAAGAAGAAGAAAAGAAAGGAAAGAAACCACTCACAAGGAGGAGGCGGCAGCGAAAAATCGTCCGATACTTGCATGATGCTATCACGCTACCACTACGCAACTCGAGCCTCAACGTAACATTTCGCATCAGCTCCCCCATATAACGGTCTCGGCAATTGCTATACTGGGCACCCTGAAAAGCACCCTGGGCAACGTCTAGTACCGAATTCCAGGCACCCGCGGAGCGCCGTTGGAAGGCATGCACAGTACGAATTTCGAGTGGTTCGTATGGATTCATCGTATATTAATTACGGAGTACTCCTATGTAAGATTGTCCAAACATCATCCTAGTTTGTCACTCCGTGACAAATAGGCCCAAAAGGGAACTTGTAGTACTGGGTATTATATTCCAGCCAGGGGTATTAGTTGAGGAGTGCCGGGACAGAGGCGTCCTCCGCGTCGACGCCTCTATACTCAAAGTACTTGCTAAACTCCTTGTCCTCAATCAGGTCCTGCGCCAGCCTCTTTTCGTAGAAAAAGGAAAACTCCGGGCCCTCGTCCGACTCGGGGTCGTTGCTGCGAGCTGGGTAGATGATGATGACGCCCTCCGTCACGCGATCCGTCAGATGGCGGTAGGTGATGGGCTTGGCGAAGCCAAAGTCCGTCGACGCCACGCTGGCATCGCGGTGGTCGGTGAAGAGGACCGACATGGGCGGCAGGGAGTCGATGCGGATGTTGAGGGACGTCTTGTCCTTGATGGTGGCGACCATCTCCAGCGTCTTGTCCAGGCTCTCCTGGGTGACGCTGTTGGTCAGGCCGCGGATATACTGCGCAAGCTTGGACAGAGGCCACTCGGACATGACCTGGGCGAACGTGGGCGACTCGACAGGGGCCGTCGTAGACAGGGCCGCGAACATGACATTGCCCCGGATCCGGGGAGGGACGCTGGGGTTGTGGAAGCGCCGTCGCATGTCGACGGCCTCGCACAGGAAGGGCTTGGACGCCGGGTCTGGGTTGAAGACGGGGGCGCGGACGCGCGTGATGGAGCGCCAGATGTAGGCCACAAAGGCGTCGTACGTCGAAATCCACTGCTCGCCCGACTCTGTCGGCTGGGCCAGCTTCTTCAACTCGGCGGCCTTGCTCTTCGGCAGGTGGAAGAGCAAGGACACGCCCTGGACGTGATCCGGGTGGCGCTGCGGAGCAGGAGGCCCATCAATCTTCTGGTCCTCAGGGGGCTCCTGCTTGCACAGCAGGGACAGGTCCATGTTCTTGGGGTCCCAGTCAGGGAACTCGGTCTTGTTGAACGCCGCGAAGCAGTTCTCTGCCAGTTGCCGGGTGTAGCCTGCCCAGCCCATCACGTCGTTACTGTAGTGGTGGTGGTGCATGTTGAACACCAAGCCGCCCCGGACAAAGTTCATCTTGAATGCTGCCACGACAGGTGAGGCATCGGGATTAGCCTCGGGCTTCTCTCCGTAGGTCATCGGGTCTACACTCCAGAGCTTGAGGTCGCCCAGAGCCACCGCGCTGAAGTTTGCCTTCTCAATCTCCTCCAGAGACGGGTACTTGTCCGCGTCCTCGGGGGCGTCGAGATACTGCACGAACAGACGGACCGTGCTATCCTTCTTCTTGACGTATTCGTGGCCGCTTCCCGACGCCTTCTTCTCAATGGTGCAGCACAGGTGCCTCGCCTGAGCAATGGTCCGCTCAAGGCCTTCCTTCATGATCTCCACAGCCCGAGCCTTCATGGCGTCGTCCATCTTGAAGAAGAGGCAGTAGTTGTTGTACGACAAGGCTGTGAGATAATCCAACGTCGACACCTCGAACGTCTCCCTTTCGGGATCGTTCTCCCACCCACGAGGGTGAAGCTCGAAGACTTCCTGCTTGGGAGCCATGATTTCGATTGACTTGTTGCGCTTGAGTGAGAATGAAGAGAAGGGGAAGCAAGGAGATAGTGACAAAAGGGGGGATGAGCGGCGAAGCCAAAAGGAAGCTGATCAAGTGAGATGGCCGGTTTTGTAGGAAGGATCGTTACAACCTCTGCTCTTTCCTCTGCCTCTTTATCACCTTTCATGTTCTCGACTTCTCCTTTTAAGCCTTTAATATAGACCAACATTCACTACTTCGGTCTCCTGGTAACATCAGTATCAACAACCCGCACTCCATTGAGAGCTGATGATCCCTCGGGGCCTCGCTGGTGCTTCCCCCTGGGCAGCCATCGCTTCGGGACAAGAGACACTAGCAGCCGCGTTTGATAACCTGTTTTATGCGACCCCAAGCAACAAGGTATTGAGACCGACTCTGTCAGATATGATAGCCGCGAGATAGCCCAGCCTTCCCTCTAGCAATGCTTGCGGTGAAGCTGGGTGGCAGCCCGTGGGGGCGAACCCCAGGAGGAGGAGCTGCAGGCTAGGCAATACTACGTTTAATATGGCCGGCAACGAGAACCCTGGCAAGCTTCATTAACCCGGGTCAACGGCTCCTCTGTTACAATGTAGCATCAAGGCGAAGCGGCGCGGAAAGCCGCCGCCATGCCAGCTGCGTCTCTAGATGGTGGAGATCTCAGGGGGGGATTTGCTCAGCTTGAACACAGGAGAGCAGGTAAGAATGCATACTGTACATGTACGTACGCAGTCCCTCTTGGTACACTTGTGTACCATATGATGTTGGGAGAGGCAATGTGGCATTTTCTGCATCCTTTATACTTGACGGCTTTGTCAGGGTGGCATCAATGCTACACATGCCAATATCAACGTCGAATAGCTCCAGCACACGTTTTCTCTCTCTCTTAATTAGCGGCAACCTATAGACAACGGCTCTCCGCATTGTCTTAGCCGGCAGATGGCTTGCAGCTTTCTGCGAGCACGAGCACTCCCTTCATGCTCGGCTCTCCCTTCTTCAACGGCACGGGCAAGACAAGACCGCTTTAGTTAGCTTTCCGGGGCACTCTTGGACTTCCTTGCCACTCGTTTCCACAACCCGGCGAGTTTACGCGGTCGTCCCGCCCCGGCTCCCATTCCAAGCGATATCCCATATCCCGGCTTCTTTAGCCTCATTTTGCTTGCCGGAAGAGAGGTTGCTGCATTAGCCTGGAAAAAGGTGGGAAGCTAGTTTACTTCATAGATGATTGCCGAGCCGGGGGGTCCAACAAATTCGCGCAAGGCACACGCAAGTGGTGGAACATAGAACTCGTACAGAAAAGACAGGGACCGGAGAATGAATGTCAGAACTTGTACGCGCATACGGTGAAGCAACTCGAGGGTTTTGGAATCACCTTGACGTCCTGACATCCTATGTGCATATATTAATGTTTTGTTTGTGCTGGACTTTTACTTGTATCCTGTTTGTCGTCTGTCTTGTCCGCTTGGCACCCACAGCAGACTTGCGCAGCCACGAGAGCAGAGGGCTTGGTTTTGCTTTTTCCTCACTTTGAGTCGAGGGTGATCAGGGGACGTACTTGACATTGAAGGATCAACTCAGGAGGTCGATCGACGACTTCCTTTTCTGATGTATCATCCAGGAGAGGCGAAAACATGGAGTGGAAACCAGGCTAATGCAAACAGGCCGAGCCAAAAGTTCGCAGGAGAGCGTGTACATGGAAGAGCCTCTTCAGACACCAGGTACGGAGAAGTAGTAGTAATAACTTAGGTAAACAGGACCCAATATGCTCCATTCAGAGAGCCGATGGCCTTGCCGTGTTCGTACACTGTCCTTGTTCTCTGATCCCAGTCATCAACCCCGTTGTAAGCAGAATGAGTGGCCTGACCATGTCCGTTTCGAATCCCGGATTCATGGTAGGTAGTATTGACCCCGTTGGCCGTAATAATAGGTGCAGGCAAAGCAAGCAGGCAGATCATTTCCGTGCTGCATTGTTTTACTATGTGCCGTTCGTGCAAGAAAAAGGAAGGGGAAAAAAGGAACGAAAAGAGTCTGGAGCAATCTTTGCCTCCTGATCTTGAACGCAGTTCATCACTTTCGAACTTTATCTTTAAACGAGACCCGCCCACTTTATACGAGCTTAAACTTTGAAGAAGAAGAAGAAGAAAGAAAAAAAGAAAACCGGAAGTTGTCTGATCACAAGGCGCGGCGCGCGGCAGTTGATTCTGTTAAGGGGCATTCTTTCTTCACCTTCGCAATCGTCCTTCCTTGGCTTCAGGAATAGAGGAAGACACCTCTCTCTTCACTCATACGCTCTTTTTTGCAACTTCCGGAAATCCACAAAGGGAAAAAAAGGGCAATCATCATGGATCCCCTCCAAGGTCCTGCCATCCCTCCACCGGCTGGAGAGGTCTCGAATCTGGATAACCCACCAAATGGCAACCACCTTGCCTTGGGAGTTCAAGTGGGAACTTGTGTGATCACCTCAATATTCTTCTTTCTCCGAATGTACGGCCGTATTGTCATGTTGAGAAAGTTTCAAGCAGAAGAAAGTGAGTGTTCCTCTCCCCTCGGCTTTGGAAGCCTGAACGTCCAGAATCGAACGAAGCAAGGACACATCGTTAGTGTTAGATTGACTTGCTGACTCTCTTGCCTTGCAGTGATGGCTATATTGGCATATGTTAGTCGAACTCCATTGTTGAGGAGGCAAGAAAGGTATACTTGACTAACCACCTGTTTGATATTCTTGTGTCTTAGGGATGTTACTGGGGCGCCATTATTTCTTCGTTCATGATGCTCAAGTATCCCGGCTACCTCGTCCACGCTTGGAACGTCCGCCTTATCAATGTCATTCCGACAACTTATGTATGTCGTCCTCGAATTCCTGCAGCTCCTGTGTATGACGGCTAACCCATGATGAACAACTCAGTGGGTCTTTGTTTACGGTGTCTTTTACTCCATCGTGCTTCCGCTGCTCAAGGTTGCCATCATGGTCGAATGGGTTCGATTGTTTGTGCCCACTACGAAGTCCAGGAGCCCCTTCTTCTGGGGCGTTTGTGTCATTTCCTTTGTCCAGATTGCGGCCGGAATCGCCATTGTCATTGCCCTGAACATGCAGTGCACTCCTCACCAGCGAATCTGGGACTTTAGAGTGGAGGGCACATGCTTCAACCTGTACACACTGCAGGTGATCTCGGCAAGCATCCAGCTGGGATCCGATGTCGCCATGTTCTGTCTGCCCCAGCACACCATCTGGACTCTGAAGATGACCTGGCAGAAGAGACTCGGTGTTGCAGCCATCTTCAGCATGGGTGTTCTGTGAGTCGACATCTATCCCCTGCTTCTTCCTGCACCCTGAAGAATCAAACAACTGACAGGAATACCTTCTTCTCTCCCAGTGCCATTGTTGCCGCATCCTTTCGAGTCGACGTGACCGTCCAGCATGGAAATAGCCCAGACAGTATTTACACGCTTGCGCCAATTGTTTTCTGGGCGTCGGCTGAGATGACCTGCGGGTTCTTCATTCTCTGCGTCCCCTGCATCCCCAAGATCATCCAAGAAGCCGGCATCGTCCCGGCCATCAAGAGGGGAACCGGCATGATGAACTCCGGCAGCAACTCCAAGCACACGGGCAGCAGCTTCGCCCGCGGCGGCAACACCAAGACCTCCGTCTCGGCCAACAAGGACTACTACCAGCTCGAGGAGGAGGGCGTGCACATGAAGAACCTGTCCGAGTCGACGGAGCATCTGCATGCCGGCTCCCACGGAGCGGCCATTACTCGAACCACGCGCGTCACGGTGACAAACGACAGCCGCTCCATCAGCGATAGCGACAGCAAGAACGACACTTGGGGTAATTAGGATGGCTGAACAATGACGGGACGCGATTTTGCACACGAGAGCGAGGCTGCTTTGGACGGCTCCATGATACCCTTTTTATTTCCCACAAAAAGAAACATCATCTTCGACACCCTCCTTTATGCCTGTTACTACCTCTATACCTTTATATACAATGCCCTTTTCTACCTATACGGCCGAGGCGCTGGCACCACCGGCAACGTTGTGGCCGGATATCTTTTTGTTTGGATTCTTGTCTTTCATTTCTCAAAAGCTTTTATTAGTCGATAGTATCTAATACCTCGATGCCGGTTCAAGGGGATGACTAATCGCTTCCGCATCTATGTGCTACGTCTTTCGTCCTTCAGCCTGTATATAAGGTACCTTACGCATAGAAGAGGAATACATGGACAGCTTAGAGCGTCGGCTTACGCCTATTCAGTCTCTGTCGTTTCGACCTCTGATGAATGACAAAATGTGCTGGCTCATACGTACATACACTGCGTCCTACACGATATTGACTTATAGCCGAGGTTATAATACAGTGCCAATCGCCGCTTGACGTGCAACCACTTCCTACCATTTTCCCGGACCGAATGTCGACCAAACTATTGCCTGTCAATCTTTCCCCCGTCAGCTTGGCATCGCGGCCCGAGAAACGGGATAGTATATTGCACATCCTCCCCTACGCGGAATTAATCTAAGCGCTGTCAATATCAACTGCCGAGTCGAAAACCTCCGTGCTCGCTCGCGCCATGCCGGCAGACGAGAGGAGAGAAAAGAGGGCAAACGAAGCCCCTGAGCTGAAAACTAGATAGAAAGCCTAGAACCTGAATAAACCGAAGCCTTCGAACCCCGGACCCTGGCCGCGGATCCGGGATCCCTGGAGGCGCCACCAAGCCACTTCTTTTCCCGTTCAGGGCACCAGCCACATAATTTCACTAATCGATCATGAGTCAATCCATCGAGATTCGGTTTTGTGATCTGTCAGCGCCATCATATTCACGTCAGGACGTGCAATTTGGCCAGGACCAGCTGCCCACCGCCCGTCTGTGTCAGCTCTGTCTAATTGAGGACATACATCACCATTGATACTTGATATATCACCGCCAGTTTGGCCATTGGCTGATTAGACTCAACCTCCTGAGCAGCTGATTGACGGGGGTCACGAGACGTCGACGATGCCTGCACAACAGGTCGAGTCCGGCGGCGGTTATGCGGGCGCCGCTTCGGAACGCACGCCGCTCTTAGGATCCGGATCCGCCTATGGATCTTCCGAGGCTCGCGGGAATGGGAAAGGTACTACTGGGAACGGAAACGGGTTGACGGGGGCGGCGGCGGCGGCGGCGGCCATTCTCGAGCGTCATCGGCGCAGCGAGAGCGAGGCTGAGAACCAGAGGCTGCTGGCGGGCGACGACGGCGACGAGAGTAATGGCGAGGAGGAGACGACGGTGCTGGCCGAGGAAGTGTCCTTCTCCAAGCTGTGCCTCATCTTTTCCACGGTCTACTTCGGGGTCTTCTTGGGCGCAATTGACTCTTCTATTATCGCCACGCTGTCGGCGCCCATCTCGAGCGAGTTTCAGTCCCTCAGCCTGCTCTCCTGGCTCGCCACCGCCTACCTCATCTCGAATGCGGCTTGTCAGCCAATCTCCGGCCGCATGACCGACATCTTCGGGCGCGGGCCCGGCCTCGTCTTCAGCAACGTCTTCTTCGCCGCCGGCAACCTCATCTGCGGCCTGGCCCAGAGCTCCAGCGTCATGATCCTCGGCCGCGTCGTCGCGGGCATCGGCGGCGGCGGCCTGATGAGCATCTCGACCTTTCTGGGCTCCGACTTGATCCCCCTGCGCAGCCGAGGCGTGGTCCAGGGCCTCGGCAACATCTGCTATGGCTCAGGTGCCATGCTGGGCGGGGTTTTTGGAGGATTCGTGAACGACCACACGAAGCTGGGCTGGAGGCTCGCCTTTCTTGTCCAGGTCCCTCCGGCCATCGTCTCTGCCGTCGCCGTGGCCATTCTCGTCAGGGTGCCGCCGAAGCAGTCAGACAAGACCTATCTTGCACGCATCGACTTTGGCGGCGTCTTCCTTACGGTGTCCTTCCTGGTCCTCCTACTCGTGGGAGTCAATTCCGGAGGAAACATTGTCCCTTGGACCCATCCCCTGCCTCTCGCCACGATCCCGCTCTCCCTTGTTGCGTTTGCCGGCTTCCTCTGGTGGGAGAGCAGAGCGACGCAGCCCATCATTCCAGTCCGGCTCCTTCTGGACCGCACTCTGCTGTCCGCCTGCATGTGCAACTTTCTGTCGACCATGGTCGTCATGGCGGGCATCTTCTACGTCCCGCTGTATCTTCAGGTGCGCGGGGACTCGCCAACAGTTTCGGGGCTCAAGCTTTTGCCTTCTCCCCTCGGTGTCTCCATCTGCTCTGTCGGGGCTGGGTATATTATGAAGAAGACTGGCCGATACGTCGGGCTAGGCATCGGCAGCTTGCTGGTACTCATTTCTGGAATCGTCATCTTCACTACGCAAACTGAGAGCACCCCCGCATGGGTGACCATGTTGGCCTTTTTCCTGGTGGGTGGAGGTTACGGTGCCATGTTGACGACGACGCTGTTGGCATGTATTGCAGCAGTCGACCACTCCCAGCAGGCCGTCATCACCTCAGCGACCTGTAAGTCTTACTCCTCCCATTGCATCGCGAAACAAAGACTAACTCCCAACACCACCAGACCTTGCTCGTAGCCTGGGTGGCACGATTGGCGTAACAGTCAGCTCAGCCGTGTACCAGAACCTGCTCAACGACCGCTTGTGGAAGCGCTTCGGCGACGAGCCACATGCAGCCGAGATCATCCAAAAGATCCGCGACGACCTCAACTTTCTGAAGCACCTGCCGTCGGGATGGCATGACGGGGTGCTGAGCTCGTTCATGGAGGCCTTTAGGGGCGTTTGGTTTACCTTGCTCGCGCTGGCAGTTGGGGCTCTCATCTGTGTCTCGCTGATGAGGCAGCACACGCTCCATGAAACTCTTGATAGACGATCAAGATGACCGACGTACAATCTACTTGCACAATGCTTATATATAAGGTAGCTCTCTAGCTCTCTATCTAGTAGGTACTTACCAGGTAGTTCTTAATATTAAAACCTAGACACTGCTATAATATTATTTATATACTTATTACTTATATATTCACAGCTAATATTATTATATATTTTCATGTCTTAATATTTATTTCTATTTATGTATATATTTACATATCTATATTATATACTTATACTTAAATTAAGCAGAGGAAGTATATAAAAGAGGGAACAGCAGATAGAGTCCTTAAGGCTCGCTTTAAGCTCGCCTAGCTTTCTTTCTTTTGCTTTCTTTCTTATTAACAACTCGCACCTATTAACTTCTCTATTTCCCTACTTTCCCCTATCTTCTACCTTTACTCTCTTGCTGGAAAAGCACAACGGCAACCACAAGGCATCTATAATATACCATGCCTCGAACCAAGACCACAGCGACGGAGAGAGAGGCATTCGCAGGAGTGCCGCCATCGGGCGCGTGGATGGCGCTGCTGGAGGCGATGTTGCCATCGCAGACAATGAAGACGTGGGAGACACTCACCAGGACCCACGACCAACACCGACACCCACACCAACGCCCGCGACCACTCCTAAAAAAGCGATGTTTCGTTATTGAAGTTCGAGAAGTCTTAGACCGCTGGAACAATCTGCAGCTTGTGCGCCTCTCTGGGGTTGGGGAAACATGCCTGGCAGTGGAAACACTTGCTGGAGAGATGGACGTCATCACCAACATCATGGCCGAAACCCCCGCAAACGAACGAACCGAGAAAGCCGCGGAGTACAAGGTGAGAGCCAGAGGTTGTCTTCTGGCGAGCGATGGAGAGGAACTCAAGCAGCCTCCGCCAGGTTCGGCACTTCCCTACCGTGAGGATGACAGGTGGAAGAGCCTGAGGGAGAAAGTCATCCCGAACTGTGGAGGATACGTGAAGGCCTCATACATGGGATTTAGTGTCGGAGCCCGCGGGTTCTTTCTAGGGGAAGTCTTCTGGGAACTATCACTCCTCTTTGAAGACAGAAGGCAGATTAAGGTCAAGAGAAGGACTCCTCACTGGTCGATGGCAACACGTAGCGGAACGTATCATACATGGCGAGTGTTCCAACCAACTCTGCGACCGCACCACCGACAATTATGCACGAGCCTTTGCTCGGGATGTGATAGGTGATGGTCCGGTGAGATGTGAATCATTGCCATCAAGCTGGTTGAACAATGGTCGGCAGCTTGAGCGAGGGACGCCTAAGACCATCTTGACAGAAGAAGAGAAAGGAGCGAGACGCTGCATAAAGTTCTATTAATCTAGGTTTGAAATCTTTTATATCTATTACTATATACCTATATATCCCTTTTACAAAGACTTCTCGACCTCCATAGCCTCTCGGATGCCCTCCTCGATGGCCGAGACCCGAGCCTGCTCCAAGCGCTTCAGAGGCCGCCGAGGATACCCTCCGTAGCCATAATAGGTCTGAATCGCGGACTTGGTGCCTGCAATGGCGGCCTTTGTGAGGGGCCAGTCGCCGCGGCTGAGGACCTTTTGCAGCTTGATGGCCTCGTCCTTGTGGCCCTGGGCGTAGAGATCCCAGACCTTGACGCACAGCTTGGGCATGACGTTTGCGCCGCCGGCAATGATGCCGCTGCCGCCGCTGACGAGGGTCTGGAGGGTGAAGTCGCACATGCCGCCAAAGGCCATGTAGCCGGAGCCCTCGTGGAAGGGCGTCTTGGCGTCGGTGGCGAGGGCGACGCGGGTGAGCTTGCCGGTGTTGCCGCAGGTGAACTTTGTGCCGACGATGTTTTTGTGCCGGGCGAGCCGGATGAGGAGGTCGCTGTCCATGTCGATGCCGGAGACGGCGCCGGGGTAGTTGTAGAGAACAATGGGGATGGGACTGGCGTCTGCGACGGCGACGAAGTATGCCTCGATGGACTCCTCGTCGGTCTGGGCGCGGTAGTACGAGGGCGGGAGGACGAGGGCGGCGGCGGCCCCGGCGGCGGCGGCGAGCTTGCAGAGCTCAATGGTGCCGCGGACGCTGCCCTCGGTGGCGCCGAAGAGGACGGGGACGTGGGGGAAGCCGGCAGCGTCGAGGGCCTCGCGGGTGGCGGACAGGACGGCGATCTTCTCGTCGCGGGTGCAGTGGACGGCCTCGCCGTTGGAGCCCATGACGACGAGGCCTGCGAGGCCGGCTTTTGCGAGGCGCTGGGCGTGCTGCTTGATGGTGGGGATGTCGATGTCTTCGGATTCAGGGTGGAAGAAGGTCATTGTTGGGGCGTAGATGCCGCATGGGAGGGATGGGGGAGCCATGGTGGATGGGTGGAGGGGATGTGTGTTTTGATGGGATATGAGGGGAGTTTTCTTTTCTGTGAGAGGATGGTATTTGGATGGGGTGTTTGAGGGTGAGATGGTATACGGGAGGAGGAAGGGAGAGAGGGGGAGAGAGAGATGGAGGTTGGAGTGGAGGATGAGGATGATGAGGAGCAGGAGAGGAATACACGCGGAGACGAGAACGGGATGACACTTGATTTGTATTATATTCTCTAGTAGGATGGATCCCGAATCGAAAGGTTTATATGTGGAAAGCAAGGCACACTCTGTTTCGTGCTCGGGGCGAAAAGAATAGCCGCTTATAACCCACAGGGACGTGGAGGAGGAGGTTCTTTCGGAGGGGAAGCCACCGAAGAGGAGCGGGTTCTGGCTGCTGCGGCTCGGCCGACGGACCCCGACTGCCACGAGGGATATGAGCGTGCTAGAGATCCGAAGACGGCGGAGTCTATTCAACTAATGGACACGATTGGGAGGATTCGATGAAATGGCAAGGCTTTTGCTGGAGACTGCTAGCAAGCTTGGGATGAGAAAGCGTGGGGTTTGTCCTGGGGGGAGGTGGAAGATGCAAATGAGGGGAAAGTATGCGGTACAACTGGAGACTGATGGCATGTTGAAGATGCTGTTCTACAATTGGAGGATAAATCAGCCTGGAGCTGCTTCCACCATACATGTTGACAGGAATAATGAGATCAAGGCACAAGGCTGCTCCGCTGGAAGTACTTGTACTTGGCTAGCTCGAGTCATCCCGTCGGTAGTACGGCAGTACGGCTATAGTCGATGGAATTTAATTGCTGGAGAGTGAGAAGAAACAAGGTGCTCCTGTGACCGTCGGGTTTATTCAGCCCGATTTCACGAGATGGAGGTCTTCATTTGCTCACTTGACGGGGGCTTGAGTTGTGAGGTGCTGGTATGAAAAGATGCTTTGCTTGACCACTTTGGCTGAGATGAGTTCTTTGGCCTTGATTGATTGATTGATTGTTCTTCAGAGACGCAAGGTTGAAACTGAAGAGTTGAAGCTGGATGATGCGGGGTCGCACAGGGTCGACGCGGGGTAGACGAAGCCCGGACCAGCCTGAAGCAGATGGGGATAATGTTCCTCTCCTGGATTTATCGCCATGTCCTCACTCCCAGATGCAGCATGTATGTGTGCATACCTTATGCAGGCACTCAGGGCACATGTAATAACCACTGCCTCTACTCAATTCTTCGTCAAACATGAACATGCCATTATATCCAGCTTATATAGCTTGAAAATGAGTCTTTATATTACATAGCATCATGTGAAATAAGAAAAGACGGAATTTATACGCATGAAGATCCAAGAGCCTGTGCCCCGGCCTTTCTTTATCCCTCCAATTGCTGACCCCGCCAAATGCCCCTCAATTCCTCCGTCCTGCATGTCACCATAAGGTCTGGGAAGCTGCTTCACGAGACACGGGATTGGCAAGGCTGTTGAGAATATTAATCTGTTTCAATTCTTATTGTGACGATATTTCTGATTCTTCTTATTAACTTACTTCTCTGTTCATGATCCCTCCCTCCGTCGTCGCGTAGCCTCTTTCTTCCATACCATACAGACAATCAACGACCCTCCTCCTCCTCCACCTCATCATGGCGGCTCCTCTCAATGTGCTAATGGTAAAACAGCCAAGCTTCTCCAAGACTGAAGCCACCTCCATTGACTGACAATGCATCATGCAGGTCGGCACCGGCGAGTACACGACTGGCTTCGTGGGCGGCGGCGCTTCCGGCTCAGACAAGAAGGTGGGCGTTGTCGGCCTCACGCTCTTTGACCTGCGGCGTCGAGGCAAGGTCGGCCAGCTGGGCATGGTCGGCGTCAACGGCAAGAAGTTTCCTCAGATCCGTATGTCTGATTGCCTTCAAGAATAGGCTGTGAACACACACAGAGAGAGGGGGAGAGAGAGAGCGAGGGAGAGACTCACACACCGCACAAACAGGGGAGCACCTTCACAAAAACATCACTCAGGTCTACAACAACCTCGACACCTCCTTCGACTCGTTCCCCGACAACGACTCGGTCGACCCCGACGCCTACAAGGCCGCCATCGACAAGCTCAAGCCCGGCGACGCCATCACCATCTTCACGCCCGACCCGACGCACTTCCCCATCGCCCTCTACGCCATCGAGCGCGGCATCCACGTCCTCATCACCAAGCCCGCCGTCAAGCTGCTCGAGCACCACCAGGAGCTCGCCCGCAAGGCCAAGGACAAGGGCGTGTACGTCTTCGTCGAGCACCACAAGCGCTTCGACCCGGCCTACTCGGACGCGCGCTTCAAGGCGCAGTCGCTCGGAGACTGGAATTATTTTTACTCGTACATGTCGCAGCCCAAGTCGCAGCTCGAGACGTTCAAGTCGTGGGCCGGCAAGGAGTCGGACATTTCGTACTACCTCAACAGCCACCACGTCGACGTGTGCGACTCCATGGTGCGCCACCGGGGCTACCTGCCCGTGCGCGTGTCGGCGACGTCGTCCAAGGGCGTCGCCACGGGCCTGGGCTGCGCCGACGGCACCGAGGACACCATCTCGCTGCTCGTCACCTGGGAGCTGGCGGGCCAGCCGGCCAAGCGCGCCATCGCCGTCTACACGTCGTCGTGGACCGCGCCCCAGCGCGCCGGCGTCCACACCAACCAGTACTTCCACTACCTGGCCCGCGACGGCGAGATCCGCGTCGACCAGGCCCACCGCGGCTACGACGTCGCCGACGACCGCGCCGGCCAGATCCAGTGGTTCAACCCGTTTTACATGCGCTACGCCCCGGACGAGGACGGCAACTTCAACGGCCAGACGGGCTACGGCTACATCTCCATTGAGAAGTTTGTCGACGGCTGCCGCGCGGTAAATGAGGGCCGGGCGACGCCGGCGGACCTGGACGCCAAGGGGCTGCCGACGCTGGAGAATACGATTGCGACGACGGCCATTCTGGAGGCGGGACGGCGGAGTATCGACGAGGGGCGGGAGATTCAGATCAAGGTGGAGGATGGCGTGTGGAAGCTGGTGTAACCGAGACCATTTGATCTGATGACATACTGAATAAATAAACAAAGAATGAATTCTAAGTCGCTTCAATGAGTGATGTAAAGTCGTCTTTTGTGAGTTGTCGTAGTAGACGTTTGTCTTGCCAAGGTGGGGGGTTTCGCATTGTGTAGATGGAAAGAAATGGCGAACCCACTATCTAGTAGCAGCAAATTCTGTATTATCTCAACACTCATAAAGCTCAACCATCAACAACTCCATCTTCTCATTCCCTCAACCAGCCCAGCACACACACACACACACACACACACACACACA